GGATGTTGCATGCTGTTCCTCAGGGGCCATCCACCATTTATTTGTTTGTTTGTGAGCAAGAGCCTCTCACTGGCCTGGAACTCGCCCTTTAGGACTATAGACTCACGCCGGCATGCCCAGCTTTTAATTTTTTTTAGTATCGTATTCCTATTCTTAAAATCCTGTGTATGTCTGTGGGTATGTGCACATGAGTGCAGGTGCCGGAAGAGACCGTCAGATCCCCTGAGGCTGGAGCTATACCAGCAGTTCTGAGCGGCCTGGCTTGGGAGCTGGAAATTGAGCCTTGCTCCTCTGCAAGAGCAGCCCTTGCTCTTAACTGGTGAGCCCTCTCTCTCCAGCTGCTGTGCCCAGCTTTTATGGGGGTGCTGGGTATCGAACTCAGGTCCTTACACTTGCACATCTCTGCAGCCCTGGCCTGGGCTTTGACACAGGAAGGTGACCTCAGGGTCAGGAGCACCAGGTCAGAGAAGAATGTGGATGGGGGGGGGGGGGGCTCCCGTGGAGACGTAGCTGCAGGGTGTCCACGCCAGTCAGTCGCTCTACTCTAAAGTCCACAAGCCACATTAGCACAGCCCTGGGCCCATGTGACAGGATCTTCAACTGCAGGGGACCAGGTGGAGCAGGGGAGCAATGATTTTCCACATTGGTGACACAGAGTTGCCATTAAGGTCCACAGGAGCCTGGCCTGAGCAGGTGTTCAGCGGGGGTCCCAGAGCCCATCTTTCTAGGTTTGTGAGAGGCCCGGGGTGACAGAAAGGGCTGTGGTCACAGCCCTTTTCTGGAACTTTCCTGCTTCTGACATGACAGTCTTGACTTAAAACCAGAATTCTTTTTTTGGCTCCGCTGGACACCACAAGCATTTTCATCCCAAGTCACATCTTGACTGGTCAAAAGGTTTCCGAGCGAAAACTTGCCTCTCCTGTGACGTGTGGTTTTGGTAGAGCGCCTGAGCCTCGGTGGCTTTTGCCTGAGGGCTGAGGTGTTTCCCGGGGGGATTCATGGCGGTCCTGAGGAGAGTTAGCAGATGTCACAGTGGGCTCAGGGCACCCAGCCCCTCCTTTGTGGTGCTTACAGGCTAAGGAGCCCAATAGTTAGGTACTGAGGGGAGGGTTCTGAGGGAGCATAGAGAGCGGAAGGAGAGGCTGTGGAACTGGGAGAGGAATCTGCCTTTGGCTCAGGGTCCGAGGAAGCAGCATTGCAACCCATGAGGAAGAAGAGACCAAAGTCAGACGGAGGCCAGGAGCAGCCAGGTTGCAGGGCTCTGAGGGGGGTCGGGTGAGGCTGCAGGGGTGAGGCGGGGCACGCTGCCGGAAGCAGAGAGGCTGGGCCACACAGGGCCATGCCCACCACGGGAAGGGGCTTGGAGGTTTCCCTGGGACTTTAGTTGGAGAGCACAAAGGAGCAGTTACAGGGGTGAAGAGGGCCGAGGTGAGACCTGCTCGGGCCTGGGTAGAGAAGGGGAAAGGCGGGCATCAGTAGGGAGGCCAGGCAGCCTCCTGGGCCACAGAGGACAGAGGTGGAGACTAAGAAGATGGGGGAAGGAGAGGGGCTGGCCTCTGTGGCTGGGACAGGAGATGGGGCTGCTCCCAGGAGGCCACGCACTGTCTCAAGCTCTCTTTGGGCCTCCTGACCTTTGAAGACATCTGAAACCTGCGGCTCCTGAGGTACCCAGATAATGTGGGTGGTGGGACCGCGAGGCAGCCTGGGCCTACAGAGCCCCAGCTTCCACACTGCATGTCAGCTGAACCTCAGCTCTGACAGTGGGGCCTTCCCCCGAATCCTCCCCAACCCCCCCCACCCCAACCACCCACCCACCTCCCACCCCTGCCCACAGCACTTAGCTAGAAAATGTTGGGGCCATGGGAGGTGTTTGTTGACCCAATCTAGTGCCTGGAAACAAAAGGCCACACAGAACCCAGGGCAGTGCGTGGACAGGGGGCAAGACGTACCCCGTTTCCCCAGTCTGCTCCCAAATGCACAAGCTGTGTTGCTAAGGATAGAACCCAGGGCCTAGAAGGCCGGGCAAGCACTCTAACCATTGTGCTTACATGCCTCTGTCCATTCTCTTGTACGGCCCTCCTGCTTGGAGTCCATTGTGTTTCAGTCCACACGTCTATCCTATCAAAGGTGACTATTTTTTTTTCATCCATGTCAAATGTACCTTTTTATTTGTTGGTTGGTTTGTGTATGGGCCTGGGTGTGTGCGTGTGCCACAGCACATGTGGAGGGCTCACAGGAGTTGGGTCCCTTCTTCCACCATGGGAATGCCGGGGATCGAACTTGGATCATCAGACTTGGGAACGAGCACCTTTGCTCACCAAGCCATGTTGCCAACCTCAGCCATTATTATTATTATTTTTAATCTCCATGTCATTTTTGGTACCACAGGTGTCCCTACAGCAGAATACTTGTTAGCGTTCCCGAGGCTCCGTTTGTTCTTTGTACTTTCTGCCAACTGATACTTTTGCACTTAAATGTTTGTGTGTGAGTGTGTGTGTGTGTGTGTGTGTGTGTGTGTGTGTGTGTGTGTGTGTTGGGGTGAATGCAGGTGTATTCATAGCACAGTGTGAATGGAGACCAGAAGACAGCCTGCCGCCTCCTTCCTTGATACAGGGTCTCTTGCTCCTCAGGGGGCACACCAAATTCCCAGGGATTGTCTCTACCTCCGCCCCTTTGTGGTAGGAATGTGGGGAGGCCCCACATGTGATGCCCTGCGTGGCCTTAGGAGGGTTCTGGGCGTCTAAGCTCAGGTCCTCACGCTTACAGGGCAGGCGCTCAGCGAGAGACCACTGAGCCATCCCCCCAGCCCTCCCACCGGTATTTTCTGTTGCTCTGTCTTTAAGGTCACTGATCATTCCTTCTTGCATCTTGTTATTTTGTCTTTGATTTTTGGCAGGGTCTTGTATAGCTCATCCTGGCTTAGAACTTGCTATGTAGCCAAGGCTGGCCTTGAACTCCTGATCTTCCTGCCTCTACCTCCCAAGTGCTGTATTGTAGCCATTCACTACTATACTGGCTCTTGAGCCTGTTCATTGAGTTTTTTTTTTTTTTTCTTCATTTGTGTGTGTGTGTGTGTGTGTGTGTGTGTGTGTGTGTGTGTGTGCGTGCTACAGCTGACTTGGTGGCCAGTTCCATAGTGTGTGTCCACTTTGTGAGTTTTGTTCAATGGTCATTTCTTTTTTTTTTTTTTTTTTTTTTTTTTTTTGGTTTTTCGAGACAGGGTTTCTCTGTGTAGCTTTGCGCCTTTCCTGGTACTCGCTTTGGAGACCAGGCTGGCCTCGAACTCACAGAGATCCGCCTGGCTCTGCCTCCCGAGTGCTGGGATTAAAGGCGTGCGCCACCACCGCCCGGCCCAATGGTCATTTCTTTAACTGGGGATTGGCTGGTTTTTTTTTTTCTTTAAGGGAAACATGTACTTTCTTGTCTTTTTTACACTTACTTATTTGTGTATGAGGGGACACACACATACCACAGCATACGTATGAAGGTCAGAGGATACCCTGTGGGGGTCAGTTCTCACCTTCTATCAGGTGGGTCCCGAGGATTGAACTCAGGTCGTCAGGCTTAGGGGCAAGTGCCTTTACCCGCTGAGCCCTCTCGCTGGCCCCGGGTGATCTTTTCAAGGCTTGTTTCTGGCTTGTTTGTTGGGAAGAGTCTGTTGGATGTAGTTTGCTGTTTTTCTGGACCCCCCCCCCCAGAACTGGAATTATAGACGGGTGTGAGCCATTATGTGGGAAATGAGACTTGAACCCAGGTCCTCTGGAAGAGCCACGAGTGCCTGTAACACTTGAGCCGTGGCTCCAGCCCCAAAGAACTTCTTTAAAGTTACATGTGCATGTCTGTGTGTGGGTATGTGCTTGTGAGTACAGGTACCTATGGAGTCCAGAAGAGGGCGTCAGATCCCCTGGAGCTGGAGTTATAGATGGTTACGTTGCTATGTGAGTGCTAGGAACTGAACTTGGTCCTCTTCAAGAACAACATTTGCGTTGACCACTAAGCTATTTCTCCAGCTCCATTTGTTGGTCTTTGAGACAGAGTCTCACTCTATAGCCCCAGCTGGCCTGGAACTCACAGAAATCCACCTGCCCCTGCCTCTTGAGTACTGGGATTAAAAGTGTGCGCATCACACCTGGCCATTTCCCCAGCTTTTATTTCCCCTTGCCTGCTAGACATGGAACCTGGGGCCTTAGGCCTGCTGGGTAAACACGGTCCTGTGAATCACACCCCTTGCTACACTGAAAAGATGTCTGAAGATCTGGTTGTGGACATGGGAGATGGCCCAGTGGGGCCCACGAGGACTTGAGTGTGAACCCCCAGCATCTGTAGAGAAGCAGTGTGGCCCTGGACGCCTGTAATGCCAGTGCTGGTGGAGGCAGAGGCAGGAGATAACTGGAGTTTGCTGGCTGCCAGCCTAACTCGAGCTTGTGAGAGACCCTGTCTCTAGGAAATAAGGTGGAGACTGAAAGAGCAGGACAGTAGATACCCCTCTGTGTGTGTGTGTACGTGTGTGTGTGCGCACACACACACACACATATATACACATCACAGTTCTGGCCACATTTAAAATTTTGATTTTTATTATTTTTATTTATGTGTGTGCGTGTGTGTGATGTGTTTGCACGTGAGGACAGGTACCAGCATCAGATCCACCAGGAGCGGGAGTTATAGGCAGTTGTAAGTCACCTGACCTGGGTTCTGGGAACTAAAGCCAGGTCCTCTGGAAGAGCAGGAAGTGCTCTTAATTGCTGAGCGGATCTGGCCCTCTCGCCACATTTCTGTGTCCACTTAGTCACCTAACAGACACCGGAGTGCTGCTGCGTGTACCGTGGAGGGGGCGCGGGGAGGGGCACTGTTCAAGGTACCGAACGTGCAGCTGTCCAAGATGGCAGAAATCTTACTTGTCCCAGAGCTGAGAGCAAAGTGGGGCGGGGGTGGGGGGGCAGGCAGAGAATCAACAGGCAAGTAAGTGCCATGTCATCACGGGTGTCTCAGCAGCAGCCTGACAGCAGCCAGAGAGTCCACCCCACCCCAACCAGGCACCTCCCCTCAGGCAAAGCCAGAGAGGATGTAGTAGGAGACATCCCCAAATGAGCCTAAGCAAAGCAAATCCCAGCACTCTGGAGGCAGAGGCAGGCGGATCTCTGTGAGTTCGAGGACAGCCTGGTCTACAGAGCAAGTTCCAGGACAGCCAGGGCTAAACAGAGAAATCTTGTCTCAAAAGTCAAATAAATAAATAAACAAATAAACAGGCTTTAAGTTTAAAAGTTAACTTACTAATTTTCTTGAAGAATTCCCTTTTTTTAATGGAACCGTAAGGCGATGTGTGGGAGTATGTGTGTGATATCTGTGGGGATCATCATGCGTGTGCAGAGGTCAGAGGACAACCTGGGAATCAGTTCTCGCCTTCCACTGCTTCTGTACCTGCTGGGTGTGTCTATCTTGCTCAAAATCATAATACGTTGAAGCTGGGCATGGTGGCTCGTGTCTTTAATCCCAGCACTCAGAGGCAGAGGCAGGTGAGTTTCAGGACAGCCAGAAATACACAGAGAAACCCTGTCTCAAAAAAAGAAAGACAAAAGAAGAAAGGAGTCATAAGGTGATTTTGAGGTTCAGTAGAGAGTCTAGAATGAGTGAAGAGCGTTAATACGTTGGAACTCGGGGTCACAACACATGGCTCAAAGTGAACACCGTTTTGTATTCTTAACACTCTTTTTTGAAATGTCTTCAGGAAAGCATGTGTGCAGGTGATCTTTGCTTTATCAGTGGCATTGAAGTCTCCCGAGGCTCAGTCAGCAAGAGAGGCAGCCTGGATCCCAGGGGTCGGGGCTGCTTTATCTTCTTATCTCCTATTAATTTCCCGCCTCTCTTTCCTGCCTCAACATAACTTCAATGATGCAATAAAGACACAGAAGCCAGAATGGGGAAGGAGTGGGGTCAGGGGATAAGCCGAGCCTCTCAGAAGAGGTGAGCTCGGAAAAGCCTCCCCAAGAGCATGAATGACGGGAAGGACACCAGCAAGAGGGACTTGGTGTGGTGGAGAACCACTGGAGAGCTTTTAGGCAAAGGATGCCACAGTCTCATTGTATGTTAGTTAGTTCCCTGAGGTTCCCTATAGAAGGGGGCGGTGGCAGGAGGCTGCTGCCGTACTGCAGGCAGAGATGGACGGCAATGATGTTGGGTCTAGAGATGCCGGGAGTGGGTCCTGTTCAGCTCGGAGTCTAGAGGCAGAGCCTTCAGAACTGCCTGTGTAGATTATACGCTTTAGTGGTAACTTCGAGTCACCAACGATGCCTCGATGTCACATTAAGGAAAGGAATAAAAGCACTTCCCCTTCGAGTCTTTTAGCCAAGAGTGAGTCCAGATTTGAATTCCTCCACTCCATGTTCCTCTGCGGGAACCTGTGCCTGCTGATGGAGGCTGTCTTGGGGTTTGTCTGTGGGTGAGTGTGGCTGTGTGTAATGGCACCTTTTGTGTGTCTGTCAGGTGACTGTGTCTGTCCCCCACAAAGTGTCCCTCTGTCTTTATTGAGCAGCACTGGAAGCCATCACACAGGGGAGGGATGGGGTACTTGACAGGGATCTTACCCCAAACTCTGCAAGGATCACGTCACTGCCTTCAACTGATCCCGACTGACCCAGACAACTATAGTAATACAAACAATGGTTTATGAACCGACTTCCATAAATGGATATCCACTTTAGAAGGTTGCTTCAACCTCTGTATTTGCTGCTTTCAGCAAATGACACACACGCACTGTTCTGGGACAGGGGCAGTGAAGGGTACATGATTTAAGATTACAGCTATGTGTTAGCTTAGGCAGTAAAAGTTGGGTACACAGGAAGTCCAAAGCAAATAAGGTCGGTTACCACATTTTTTTTTTTCTTTCTCAAGACAGGGTTTCTCTGTGTAGCCCTGGCCATCCTGGAACTCTCTTTGTAGCCCAGGCTGGCCTCAACTCAGAGAGATCCGCCTGCCTTTGCCTCCTGAGTGCTGAGATTAAAGGCGTGCGCCACCAACACCAACACCACCACCTGGCTCTCAACATTGTTCTCTTAGAGGTAGATTAAACAGGCTGAGTACACAGTGGATCGCCTTATTCTTGTTTTTTTTTTTTGCGATAGGGTCTTACTATGTAGCCTGAGCTGGCCTTGAACTCCTCATCCTTCTTGCCTCTACCCCTCAAGGGCTGGGATTACAGGTGTGTGCCGTGCTGGCTAATCCTGGGAGAACTCCCCTTTCCACCGGCCTGGCCAGGACTGGCCAGCGGAGTGTAGGGTTGGCGTCTGTGAGTTCTCTGTGAAACTGGACTTTTACTTTTGGACGCTTACTCCACGGCCCTCACCCGCTCTCAATTTCTCTGCGTGTGCAGGGCTCTTCTCGTATCTACACGTGGGCCTCCTGATGAGACTGGGCTGTAGTTGGTGACTGCCCGTCAGACCGCAAGGACATGTCTAGTGGGATTGGGGTTTCCTGTTGCCTCATATACAGAGATACTAGATTCTAAAAATAAGTGCCCCCCCAACCTAACTTTTTCTGACCTGGGCTAGGGTACTCTGAGCACCCTAGGGCCTGGTTTGGGCCTCCGCTCCCCATCACAGCTATGGGAACCTCAAGTGCTTGCTCTGTCCCGCCCCTCCAGGTCACTCGCAGAGCCAAGGTGGCTCCTGCCAAGAGGATGAGCAGGTTCCTGAAGCACTTCACCGTGGCCGGGGACGACTACCACACGTGGAACATCAACTACAAGAAGTGGGAGAACGAGGAGGAGGAGGAGGAGCCGGCCCCCACCCCAGCGGAGGGAGAAGGCAGTACCGTGGGCCCAGATGCCGAGGCTGGCCCTGTCCCCGCACCCAGGCCGACCCTGGACTTCAGGAACAGGCTGAGGAAGCTCTTCACTTCCCACAGGTTTCAGGTAGGAGGCTGACGTCACCGGGTCTCCAAGGTGGGAGCCCCCCTTCTGCCGTGGCCACCCACCCGTGCATCCTACCACATGCCATGCTCTGTGGTCCGGCCTGTATTGACAGTGGGGAAGGGGGGGGTAATAAAGCGAAGGAAGGTTAAAGGCCCTCCCGTGGCCTGTCCCTCCGGATGGCGATGGCTTGGGCGTGACCAAGGAGGACATGTGGACGCATGCTGCAACTCTGAAAACAGGACTTGAGTCCCTGACAGGGGAGGTCCCAGTAGTGTGTGTGATGCCAGGTAGCCGAACCGTCCAGAATGCTCACAGCCGGATGGACAGATGGGAGGCCGTGGGAGGGAGGAAAGAATGTCGGGGGTGGCTGCTTGAGAGAGATGGGATTTCCTCTTGGGGTGGGGGTGGAAATACACTGGAACCAGCCCGTGGTGACGGCTGTACAGCCTGGCGACTGTTCCCGCTGCCACAGAGCTTTATGGCAACCTATGAATGGTTACTTCACGCTAGTTATTTTCACGTTTGTGTGTATACTCCAAGTACACTATGAGCGAGGCATTCATTCTACAGAGCGCCCGCTTCTGGACAAGGTCATGTGGCTTCCCTGCCTCAAAATCTCAGCACCATGGGCCCTCAGACCCTTCCTTATGGAGCGGTAACAAAAACATGTGGGGCTGGGGAATTGGCTGGGCGGGTAAAGTGCTTGTTGTGAAGCATGAAGACCCGAGTTTGGTTCCCCAGCGCCCAGGGCATGGCAGTACATGCCAGTTATCCCAGCACTGGGGGGCAGAGGCAGGCGGCTCCTTGGGGCTCACTGGCCACTTGGTGAGCCCCAGGTTCCATGAGAGAATTAGGTTGGAGAGTAATTGAAGACACTAACATGGACCTCTGGCTTCCGTGTGTGTGTGTGTGTACACAAATACACACACACACACACACACACACACACTCCACCCATGTGCCTGGCTCTCACTGTTAACCTCTCTCCATATGCTGCCATAGGGGGAGGTAAGGGACTTCCTGGCTGAGCCCTGGGGGGACCATCTATCCCAACCTTGTGAAAGGCAATTTTTGAAAAAAGATTTACTATTTTATTTATGTATGTGTGCGCCTCCATCAGTTTATGTCCACCATTTGTATGCAGGAGCTCTCAGAGGCTAGAGGGTGTCTGAACCCTGGAGCTGGAGTTACAGGTGATTGTGAGTCACCTGATATGGGTCCTAGGAATTGAACCTAGGTCCTCTGCAAGAGCAGCATTCTTTTTTTTTTTTTTTGGTTTTTCGAGACAGGGTTTCTCTGTGTAGCTTTGCGCCTTTCCTGGAACTTACTCTGTAGCCCAGGCAGGCCTCGAACTCATAGAGATCCACCTGCCTCTGCCTCCCAAGTGCTGGGATTAAAGGCATGCGCCACCATCACCCTGAGGTAGCAAGCTGGTGTCTAGAAGCATGGCTGTTCCAGGAAAATGCAAGAGACCAGGGGTGTGGGAACAATCACAGCGCCTGGTGGGTCCAGTACCACAGGGAGGCACTTAGGGGATGCCACTCTGGGCATTAGAACTCAAGTCCCTGCTAGAAGCAGGGAGCAGCTCCACATTCATCCCCGACACTGTTCTCAGGCGGGGGTGGTGGTGGATTATATTGGTCTTTTTTCCCCACTTAAGGCAAGCCAACAACCCAGCATCCCTTGCCGTTCTGCCTGCCCCTCTGTGGCTGCGGCAGGAAACATGGTATTATGTTGTTGGGGTTGAAATCCAAACCTGCAATTTCAGAGCAAACAGAGGGAGCCGGCTTCCTTCCAGCTGTAAAGGGAGCCCCAGACCTACCCCCTCTGGATGTCCCTGCCTTTGGAAGGGGCTCATCCCGCCACTCAGCCTGCCGGCCTTGGGTCTCACTCTCAGGCTGGAAAAAAAGAGGACTACCATAAAGGCATCCCCTGAGGGGACAGTGTCTATGTATTGTAGATGGCAGCAAGCTGGATGTGACAGTCTGGAGTGGCAGGAATGTCAAATGCTGCTTAGCATGGCTACAGGTCCCCTGCAGGGAAGGGATGAGGTCTAAAAGTCTGGACAGAGACTGGGAGTCAAGAGGTCGATGGTGACTGTCACCTGACATTCAAGGTTGAGCGCAGTAGGCCCCAGGGGTGGAAGGGCATGTTTCAGGCAGGGGACTGAGATGCTCAAGGGCCTGGGATGAAAGGAGACTGTGGCCTACTGAGTCGGGGAGTGGAGGAGGGGTACAAGGTTCCTGTGGATAAAGCAACAAGGTTTTTCAACGAGACGGGCTGCTGTGGACGGGCTGTGTGTGGGTGACATGACCAGATACGTTCAGGATTTTGGATGGAAGCCAGATGGGATGGGAGGAGGGGACAGCGGTTCAGGAGTTTTGCTCTCTGATGGTAGGATCTGCAACACAGTGCCAGAGCGTGTCACATGAGATGGTATAATCAAGAGGGGACATGGATGAGTCAGCCTCCCGGGAAGGCGATGTGAGATGGGTCTGGCACTTTGACCTTGATCCGGGGCGGCCAGAGATGAGCCCTCTGCTCACCTGGCCGCACACGCCCATTGTCACTGGAGTGCAGTGTGTGGCCAGCTGAGGCTTTGGTTCCAGTGCACCCAACAGGGCAGGATCTGGGTTAGCAAAGGGATGTGACTCCCCTCCCACAGAAAGCAACCAGGTAGAGGGGCAGATTTGAGGTTTGGGGCATCAGTTTATAGAGGCTAAGCATTAAGATCCATCTTTGTCTTTTCTTGGTCTCTCTTTCTCACTTCTAACTTCAGGTGACAGTCACATGATAAACAATTAATCTTTTTTTGTTTTGTTTTCTGAGACAAGGTTTCTCTGTGTAACAGCGCTAGCTTTCCTGGAACTCGCTCTGTAGACCAGGCTGGCCTCGAACTCACAGAGATCCACCTGTCTCTGCTTCTCAAGTACTGGGATTAAAGGCGTGCGCCACCACTGCTTGGCTAAAATTAATCATTTTAAAGTGATGAGTATTTCTGTGGTGTGTAGTGCACAGAGTACTGCATAGCTCACCACTAGCCAGTTCAGAATATTGTCACTGTCCATCCTGCCCTACCGCCACCCTGCAGTCTGCATTTTCCCAGTGTTCTGTGATCACATCACGGGTGGCCTGAGGCGCTGTCTACACGCAACACAGCATGTTCACAGCTCATCCACACAGTAGCACAGATCCATGCTTCATGCCTTTTGGTGGTGTGTGTGGTGGGTCTGTTCTCAATGCAGTTGTGCTTTGGTTTTAGAGCATGCGACTTTGCTAATCCCTCTGGTTCTAAAATAAACAAGAATTAAAAAAAAAAAAACAGGCTGGGAAGATGGTTCTGTCAATAAAGTGCTTGCTTTCCAAGTAAGAGGACGCAAGTTCTGGGGTCCGGAACCCAGGTTTTAACAGAAGACAGAAGAACCTGGTGTGATAGTGCTGAAGAGAGACAGGACTCCTGGGGCTCGCAGGCTGGTTAGTTTAGAAAGCCCACCCCAGTGAGAGACCCTGCCTCAAAACATAAGGTCAAGCTGGGCGGTGGCACATGCCTTTAATCCCAGCACTCAGGAGGCAGAGGCAGGCAGATCTCTGAGTTCAAGGACAACCTCGTCTACAGAATGAGTTCCAGAGAAACCCTATCTTGAAAAAACAATCAAATAGAATGGGACCCTGAGTGCCCTGTGGGGAGCTTGGGAACTCCTCTCCCTTTGGGGTCCACAGTCTTACTCCCTGTCCCTTGGTCGCCCAGTCTGTTTCTCCAGTACCATCTCACAAAGCAAATGCCACTCCTAACAGGCAAATAGGGTTTTGGTTTTAAGTTTCATTTTTTTTCTTTCTCTGTGGTTTGCTGTTGCCGGGGTACACACAGAGCAGATGCTCATAAGTTATTCAACACACCCCAGCCTTGGGACTCTGAGTTCCAGAAGGGGCCCCCCAAAGGCTGCCTGTCCTCAGGGACTGGGGTGACAATGTGATCACCCAGTGGGCGAATCAAGCTGCTCCCAGAGTGTGACAGGCCCACCCTGCATGGTCGGGGCAAGGGAGGAGAAGGCAGGGCTCCCTGGAGAGTAGGAGGAGGGGGCAGGGGTCCCATTCTTAACCATTTCCCAGTGGTTCCTGAGAATGAAGTGGTCCCATCCTGGCCTCACGTCCTCTGCTCCTCCCCACCAGGTCATCATCATCTGCCTGGTGATCCTGGATGCCCTCCTGGTACTTGCTGAGCTCCTCCTGGATCTGAAGATCATTGAGCCAGACAAGAAAGACTATGCGGTCAAGGTATGCACGTGGTACGGGCACACACGTGGTACAGGTGCACACGTGTACAGGCACACCCGTGCTGCAGGTGCACACCAGCCCCACCCGAGCCATGCATGCACCCGGCTCAGGTCCATAGGCAGCCAGGGCATATACAGGGCACTGCGGATGGCGTCACTATCTGCAGGCGGGGAGGGTGCTGACCGGGTCACCTGATGCTGCTCAGTGCACGTGAATGAGCCCAACCTCCTCCTGCTCTTTCCCTGGGGGGCATGCCTTACTGGGGTGTGTTACAATCAATCTTACACTTTTTGTCCCCAGTATGGCCACTGTGAGCCTCAGTAAGGCGGCTACATGTCCTTTTGACATGACCACGTGAGCTGGAGTATGCCCTTGCTTCCCGGCTTCCTTAGAAAGAAACTGGGAACTCTTCAGGTACCACTAGTCTTTTTTTTTGGCGGGGGGGAGCTGAGGACCGAACCCAGGGCCTTGCGCTTGCTAGGCAAGCGCTCTACCACTGAGCTAAATCCCCCACCCCATGTATCACTAGTCTTTATTGACCCCTCAGGGAGTGTGTGACTCTCCTCCAGGCCTCAGCAGTGGAGTAACAGTTACAGGAAGTGCCATCGTCTGTCTAGCAGGTGCATTCATTCATTCACAGACAGGGTTTCTCTGTGTAGCCTTGGCCATCCTGGAACTCGATTTGTAGACCAGGCTGGCCTCAAACTCAGAGATCCACCTGCCTCTGTCTCCCAGGTGCTGGGATTAAAGGTGTGCGCCTTTTATTGGACACTGACATTGTCCCCTCCACACAGTTCTGCCCATAGTACTGCAGTGACCGGCCAATGTGCCTGCCCATCCACAGGCTGTGTTCCTCGCAGTGGGGTGGCTGGGCCAGAGGACACTGGAGGGCTGGGGTTATTGTTCTCTCTGGCACTGGAAAGCAAAGCCCCGGCCTTGTGAGTGCTGTGAAAGCGCTCAGGACAGAGTGCGGCCGCAGCCCGTCTCTATGGCTAGTTTAGCCAGTTTCACTCTGTGGCCCAGGCAGGCCTTGAACTCTTGATCTTCCTGCCTCAGCTTCCCAAGCACTGGGTTGACAGCCCAGCCTCATTATCCTCAACGAGTGGAAGCCTTGTCTGTGATGGGGACAGCTGTCTTCGGCACTGAGTCCTCTCTGGTACCAGGCTGGTGTGCTTGGGGTTGGCAGCGGTGGCCAGGGACGGCCCTGTGACGGTCAGTGCTCCCGGCCCGTTCTGTCCCCACAGGCCTTCCACTACTTGAGTTTTGCCGTCCTGGTCTTCTTCATGTTGGAGATTTTCCTGAAGATCTTTGTCTTCCGCCTGGAGTTCTTCCACCACAAGTTTGAGATCCTGGATGCCATCGTGGTGGTGGTGTCCTTCATCCTCGACCTCATCCTCTTCTTTAAAAAGCACCAGTTTGAAGCTCTTGGCCTGCTGATCCTGCTGCGGCTCTGGCGGGTGGCCCGGATCATCAACGGTGCGTCTCCCGTGCTCCTAGGCTGCGTGGAGGTGGGGGGTGGGGGTAGGCACTGTGGTGGGTACCAAGGTGGCAATACAGTCACCAGATGCCCAGGATCTCATACCTGGTTTCTGTCATGGCTGCTGCCTCCTTGGAATCTGGAGAAAGGTAGATAGTAATACTTGGTGACGAGCTGCCACCTCTGGCTGCGGACCATGATTGCTCCAAAGTCGTTTCACACTCTGGCCATATTTTCATGGTTACCAGGAGGTAGCTATGGACGTACGGGACTCTTGCCCCAGGCAGCACAGGAGGACAGCATCCTCCAGAAGGGAGGCAGGTGGCTGAGCGGTGCTCTGTGCTGACTGCCCAACTCCAGGGGCCCCTCATGGAGCTTCCAGTTTCCGTGAGTGACCACTGTTGCTGACACTTGTTACCATCCCCTGGCTTCTGGATCTGGACAGGACACTCAGGGAGATCTTGCTCTGCCAGGCACAAACGCGGCCCCTGGCATCCGGGTCTGAGGAGCAGCGCTTCTGCGGGGCCATGGCTGGCTGGCGGGTGAAGCCCTTCAGTCTTCTCAAGAACTACTGTAGTCACTTTCCAAGCTCTGTGCCCCTCAGCAGTTTTGCTGCCGAGAACCTGGGGTGTCCTCAGGGGATGGAGATAGTCAGCTAGGCTTGGGAAGGCTGAGGTGAGTGGGTGGCAGTGACCTCAGGGGCTCTGGCTGGCACCTCCTGTCCCACTGCCCACTCAGTTCCCCAGAGCTGCAGGTAGAGGGCTGCTGCGGCCTGGGATTGCAGGTGGTCGCAGCTCAGCCAGCTTAGCTCTGGGCAGAAGAGAAAAGCATACGAGGAACATTCCTTTGTGTCCTGTGGAGACGGAGGTGACAGGCTGGTGACACACGGTATTTACACGAATTAATTAAAAAGACAGAGGTGAAAGGTTTATTAAATACACCACAGCGCAGCCACAGAGAGTGGGCTCCTGATGGGGCGCCCTGGCTGAGAGGGGCTGGAAGCCTCATGGGGCAGCTGGGGCAGGTGACCTCGTGGTACTCGTGGGCCTTATCTGGGTTTGTATCTGAGGGGCAGCACTGGTGTTTCTTGAGACTGGCCGTGGGGTCAGGAGCCGTGGGTCACTGGAGCTGTGCAAGGCATCCCAGGTTAGCAGGTCATGTGTCAACCAGTCAGGGCCACGCTCCAGCACAGTTAAAGCAGGGGCTTTAACTTTGGGCCTTTTCATCTCCCCACTCTGGACTCTGCCCAGGGAAGACAAGCAGCTTTCAGTTACTGCTGGGGACACTTGTCCTTGGGGAATGGGAACACAGGGGTCTGCAGAGACTGTGCCATGGGGGCCTCAGGGAAAGACTACCTAACTGCGTACTCTCTGGCTCAGAAATGGCAATCTTGAACCGGGTGGTGGTGGCGGCGGCACACGCCTTTAATCCCAGCACTCGGGAGGCAGAGGCAGGTGGATCTCTGTGAGTTCGAGGCCAGCCTGGGCTACAGAGTGAGTTCCAGGTCAGGCACCAAAGCTACACAGAGAAACCCTGTCTTGGAAAAAAAGAAAGAAAGAAATGGCAATCTTGCCCTCCTGGCTGAGGCTGCCAGTGACAGTTGTCGCTAGGGTCCCAAGTATATTCAGGAATTAGCATACAAGTCTTGGGGCTGACTAGAGGGCTCAGTCACTAAAGACACTTGCCACTAAGCTTGATGACCTGAGTTCAAGCCCTAGGACCCGCATGACAAAGGCCAAGAACTGGTTCCCACAAGCTGTCCTCTGATGTCCACAAGTACCCCCTCTTTCTTTTTCTGTCTCTGTCTCCATCTCTGTCTCCATCTCTGTCTCTCTGTCTCCGTCTCTGTCTCTCTGTCTCTGTCTCTCTCTCTCACACACACACACAGTTAAAACAAGCTGTTGCACCACGACCCTCCCCTCCCTTCCAGGCATCATCATCTCGGTGAAGACGCGCTCGGAACGGCAGATCTTAAGGTTAAAGCAGATAAACATTCAACTGGCCACCAAGATCCAGCACCTGGAATTCAGCTGCTCTGAGAAGGTGAGGCGGCTCGGGGGACCGGTTCCACTGCCGTCCCCTCCAGCCCACGACTGCCCGTCCCCTGTAGCCCACAACCCTGCCTGCTGCCCCTTCTTCCCAGTCTTTTTGGCTTACGCAGCGGCTCCTGGAGCCAGGCCCAGTCCCTCCTCAGGGCATCTTGTTCCTGTTGTCACTGCCCAGGGCCCCTCCTGGGAACGGCTCCCCTCAGCAGCCAGAATGCCACAGACTGGCTCTTAGCTCTCTGTAGCCCCAGGCCTGTGGGAATGTGGCTCAGAAGCTCATCGGCCGGTGTCTGTCTGCTTTTACAACAGGAACAAGAAATTGAGAGACTTAACAAGCTGCTGAGACAGAACGGACTTCTCGGGACGGGAACTAGCCTTCCAGAAGCTCTACCCTAGAGAAGCCGGGCGCTGGCCAGAGAGCAACTGTGTGCTGCCAAGTCCAGTCCTCATCTTTGCCTTGGCTTGCGCTTGCTGGATGCTGGGGACACATCTGTCAGCTCCGCTGCCTCTTCGGTCTGACCCGGCGCCACCTGTCCACGCCCTCCTCCTGCAGCAAAGGAATCATGACCACCTTTTCTCAGCTGGACTCTGTTCAAAAACGGACAAGGAAGTTGGGCTTGGAAAACTTAATGCCACTGCTTCCCTCCGTGTGTAGGGGACCGGCCCACCCTTTCGTAGGCATATTCTGAAAGGAGGAGAAGCTGACACCTTGCCCCAGCCCGTTCTAGAAAACCTTCCTTAGCCGGTCCACAGCTTCTCCCACTGCATCCCCTAGGGGAGGCATCCTGGTACCCAGCCCCTCCTCTGCAGCATCCAACTGTGTCAGCTTCAAACTGGCTCTGCACTCATCAGCATCCCTCTCAATTACTGTACAATTAATGTATAAAATAAGCGCCCTCTTTCTCCTGGGCCCGCCTACCACATTCTCTCCCGGGTGGCAGCCCACACCAGCCCACCAGTTACAGAGCTAGCTCACGGCAGGGGGGGCCCCCAGACGGCCCTGTAATTAGCATCATCTTGGGGTACAGTGCCCTTGTGGGCACAGGTTTTTATACAGCCTCTTACAGGTTTGTACTTCTCCAACGCTGATGGGCATTTTGAAGACAGCTCCCGAGAGATGAGGGATAATGCCCTGAGGAGGCTCTCCATGCATTGCTACATCAGGCTCTGTCCCTCCACCTCACCAGAGGCGACAAGGCCCGTGACCACCAGACCTGACCCCCAGTCCAGCAGGGTAAAGTTTCTGAGAGGAAGAGACACGGAGATGGGCAGAGAGCTGGTTTAAGGGGAGGAGCACCTAGGTCAGGGTCCTCCTGAGCCTCGGGCCTGGGCGCCCACTGCTGCAGAAGGGAAGACCTTCAGGGTGCGTACTCACTCCTGCAGGGCCACCCGCATCACACAAATGGGAAGAAGAAGCTGAAGGGCAGCCTGGCGTTGATGGTGGGTGGGGCTCGGAAGCCTGCCTCCGCAGGGGCTGACACATCCACAAATGTCACTGTGGTGGAGATGACAATCGTCCTCTCGGGCCCTGGGAGGGGCTGTAATGGAAGACAGAACGGGCACGGTCATCATCTTCCTCACTCAGCTGGAGTCTGGCAGGTCTGTGGAGTCGCTGAGGCCCAGCGCAGCCGAGGTGCACCACGCTCCAGGCTGATCCAGCAAGAGCAACCACGGTTGTTGTGACCACGAATAAAACCTGTCAGTGAGTTTTCCCCTCGCAGTAAAAGTTAAAGGATGATGATGAAACTGTTTTGAGATTCAAAATTAGTTAGGCACGATGGCACTTGCCCCTTATTACTCAGGAGGCTGACGCCAAGAGTCGCAAGTTTGAGACCAGCCTGGGTTACAGGAGACGAGCCTATGTCAAAATACCAAATTCCACCAGGCACAGCAGCACTAGCTTCCTGTCCCTGAACGTGGGAGCTGTGACATGAGGATTAACAGCTCAAGTCCAGCCTTGAGACCCTGTCTTAAAAAAAAAACTGAAATCTAAATAGAAATTATAATCCTTCACACCAAGTAATAAACTTTTCCTGTCACACCTGCTCTCACCTCGTCCTGTCTTCACCTGCTCCTCTTATTTGGTTGTGGTTTATTCTTTCGGTGCAAGGTTGGGGGTTAGCCCGGGCTAATCCTGGGCCTACCGTCAGGCCACACCCCAGCCCGTGGAGACCGTCGCCAGCAGGCCTACCTCTGGAATGGAGAAGAGCTGGGCAGTGACGTTCACTATCCTGGCTTGGGGGTTCAGCAGGGACCCATACTTAGTCCATTTCACTTCTATCCCCAAAGCCACGGGGAGCTGGCACGGGCCCTGCAGGAGAAAACTAGATTAAACCAGAATATTACACAACCGCAATCCGCAGCTGAGCACTTGAATTCTGTGTATAAGATGTTTGCCAATCACAAAACGTTCGGAACACAAGGGTGAACACACTATGCGAGTTCAGGTACAAATAAGTTTCCAGAGCCTGAGTCGTTACAGCCCCTCGGCTCCCACGACTGTACCACCCAGTGAGAGACAGGGTCCAGCCCCTCCCGTTCCCAAAGAAGGCCTCGTCACTGTGGAGGAGGGCAGTCCCGCTATCCAGTGGTGGGACCTTCAGGGCCTCAACCGGCCCACATCCACCTCAGAGGAGCTTCTGGAAACTGGCCAGAGGGACAGTAGGGGAGAGACGGACAGAATTCAACAGAGAAAAGGTGAATTTGATTGTAGCTCGGGTTCAAGTGCGAACAGAGGAAACAGAAGCATGCTTTTATCTAATTTCCTCCACAAGAAATGAAGATACACCTTGGGCGGGAGAGACGGCTCTGCAGCCCTGAGCACTGGCTGCTCTTGCAGGACCGCCTGGGTTCAGTCTCCAGCACCCACACCGCAGCTCACAACCACTTGTTACTTCAGTTCCAGGAGACCCACCACCCTCTTCTAGCCTCTGAAGGCCCTAGGCACCCATATGATGCACATACATACATATGCTTATACAAAGAATTTTTTTTCAATCTTGAAAAAAAAATGCCGGGCAGTGGTGGTGCACACCTTTAATCCCAGCACTCAGGAGGCAGAGGCAGGCGGATCTCTGTGAGTTCAAGGCCAGCCTGGCCTACACAGGGAGTTCCAGGACAATCAGGGCTGTAGAGGAAGACCCTGTCTCAAACGAACAAAAGAAAGGTAACAACAGTGCTTCATCTGCACTGCGGGGGCCAGCATGGGCTACCCGAGCTAAGGCTGGATCCTGACTCTGTCCCAGGACCTTTGCTTGGACAGTCCCAAGGGAAATGGGCATTGGGCCCTCCAGACCATCCATCCTTTTGCTGATAACTGGGGGACTGCAGCTTCTGCACAGTGGGTAGACGGGGAGCCCACGAAGCTATGGTACTTCCCGTAGGTTTGACTTCCCACGTATATTTTCTCTAAATTATGTCCTGGCATTAAAAGCTAGCAGACTTGCTAAACTGGAGACCGTCAAAAGCATTAACGGGTTCCTTGGCTTGCAAGAACCTTTAGAAACCTTATCACCAAACCGGCTTGCCAATATCCGGTTGCTAGGAGAAGCTGCAGGTGCAGCGGGTGTGAACAGCAGATGCCCTGGGCCTGCTGCCCCTGGCACTGAGGACTGGTGTCTTTACCCAGTGCCAGAAAGCTAAGAGTCATCCCCCAGGTTCACTGGTGGCTGAGCGCAGGAGTTAGGCGATCCTCGGAGTGGGGGTCTGGTGAGGTTCCTCTCCCCACGGCGCCACTCCTTATAAATATCCAAAGCAGATAATGAGAGGCCTGCCGCAGCTGCGACAAGAAATAGCTGGGCAATTAGGAGAGAATGGAGTGCACGCCTCCGCTGGGGACAGCCCACACTTGGCTGCTAAGACAAAAGGAGGAGGTGGGCAGAGGAGTCACGTGTGACCAGGAAGCTATTTGTAGGATGTCAGCTTCCATTAAACTGTTTGGGGAACTTGGGAACTGAAAGAGCTCATGTGTGGGTGGGCTGCCATTATAGCCCCGAGGCATGGGATGGAAGTGATGGAGACAGGAGGCCACATCCCATGTCCCTCCTGTCACCAAATGCCTGAGGAAGGCTTACTGCGTCACTGCTGTCCAGGCCGACCATCCTGGGGTTTGGAATATTTGCATAGCCATGATGACTGAGAAATTCAGGAGGCTAGACAGGAAATCCATTGTTCATGTCCGCCTCACCCAGTCAGTCTAGAAATAATGGTACTTCACTGGGCCCAAGTTTTGACCATCGCCACCATAGTGGTGACATGTTGGCACTTAAAGTTTCAGATTTGGATGTCATTTTTTTGGATTAGGAGATTTATTTCTCAACCACAGTGACGGTGGTGGTCACTCGCGCTTCCAGTTTATGGAGTGACCACTTGTCCTGCCAACAACCAAACAAACTTAGCCCTCTCCACAGCCCTGTGGGGTCAGTGATGTCGTTTCTGAAGGGCTCTGGCAGGCCTTGCCCTCCCCCATTCCCTCTGCCTTGCTAAACTGTTAGATCACATTCCTAAAGCTGGCCACCAAGGTCCATTCCCTTATCTGGCCACTCCCTCCTCCTGAGGCTGACCACCAGGTCCAGCTATCAAAGTATTGAAGTCCAGCAATCAAAAGCCCCCTTTGGCTACCCTAATTAACATGCCCAATTAAAATGAAACACCTCATCCTAACACGGGGTTTCCCTTCTTCCCTTTTGCCAAGGGGCCACGTCTGTCTCCTCTATCTAGAGGCAGACCTTTGTCTCTCCAGAGCAAATATCCCTTCCCCTCCCCCTTGTCCTTTTCCCTTCTCTCTCTCTCTCCTGTCTTTGTCTATCATTCCCTGCCCTCTGTCCCTCCTTTGTGCTGAGAACCTGGTCTTGGGGTGTCTGGTGCTGACTCTGGTCCTTTCAGTTCCCATGTGCCGGGGAAGCAAACAGAGGCTGGACAACTGCTGACAGAGACATTGTGAGGAAGGGCGCAGCCACCCCACTCCCTCCCCAGTGCCTCCCTCCCCACCTGTGACCCAGCTGACAGAGGAGGGCACACTAGCAGGTGGCCAGCAGCCTCCCCCCTTTACCTTCACGTTGGAGGAGTGGGTGACATAACGCACAGGCACCCAGTCCTGCACGTCCTGGGCCCGGGAATTCCCAAAGGCAGCCACATAGTCGGGGAAGGCCTGGCCTCTCAGCAGGCCCTGAATCTTCTGTGCCAGGATCCCACAGGGGATGGCGCCTGTCAGTCTTTGGGAAGGAAAGAGAGGCCAACTCAGGGAGGCACTGACAACCTCCATCCTTTCTTCCTCTCCAAAAATGCGACCATCTAACCCCTGGTCATGGAGATGACCCCAACAGTTTCCCAACCTGTATTCCACACCCCCCCTCTATGGTGTGCCATGGCCAGAAGCCGGGCAACACAGTGGCTTTCCCATATCCTGTCCTCCTGAGGGGTGCTGGCACATGTGAGTTTCACAGGAGGGACCCGGGGTTTATCCTGGGCTGCTGCCTCCTGGCATCCTGTGGGGAAGTGTTCCGTGGAACCCTCAGGAAGAACTGCTGCTCTGAGATCAGAGCTAGCAATCAAACTAATGATGGAGTCCCTCCAACCACGTGGAAAAGGCATGGGTAGAGACGGGAAATGAAGGGGCAAAGACGTGTGTTTGTACAGAGTGGGGATTCAGCCACAAGCACACAGACCCAAAGATCCAGAAATGCCACTGCAGCACCCAGGAGGCTGCGCTATGCTGCAGGAGGATCAGTGGTTTGAGTCTAGCCTGAGCTATGTAGGGAGGTCTCATCTCATTCCAGTTTTCATTCAGTGGCTCTCCTGTGCTATAAAGTTAAATTCCAGAAACAGAAAGGGCTTTCAAGGGAAATATGTTTGCTGAGAACTCAAAAGCTCTTAACCACAAAACACACACACAGCTCTGCGATCAGTCCTCTGCCGTGTTGGGGAATGGCAGGGCTATAGTGGTTTTGCTGGTGACTTGGTTAAAGTAGGGGAAGGGAGGATGCTCTCTTTGCCACTGCCACCCTCACCTGAGCTGACAGCCAGACTGCACGTTGTAGCCAAACAGCACGGGGTCGCGGAGCCCCTCACTGGCAAGACAGTCCTGCGCGCCTGCGCTACGAAGAATAGTAAACTGGCCTTGTCTGTTCGTTGTCTGAATAATCCCAGACATTCACAGGCTGTTAAGGGAGGTAACAGTTCCAGAGCAGCCAGACTGTGCAGGAGGACAATGGCTTCACGGTAGGACATGAGACACGAGCGAGGTGCAATCCCCTGCTCTGGGCCTCTGGGCTGTTGCCGGGAAGGGACAAAAAGACGCCAGTAAAATCTTTTCCTTGACTGGCGCACCTTCACAGTTAATTCCAGCCGGGTGTGGTGGCCGGGCTGATAGTCAAGCTACCAAGAAGGCTAAGGAGGGTTGCACATGTGAGGATTCCTGAACCAATGAGTTCAAGACTAGCCAGGGCAACTTGCCACAACCTTGTTTTTAAATGAAGGATAAGGAAAGGGCTGAGGTAGAGCTCAGGGGCAGAGTGCTCTCCTAGTACGCTCAAGTCCCAAAGGAGGATCTGTGAGACTGAGGCTAGCCTGGTCTACACAGTGAGCTTCAGGACAGAGAGATCTGTTTCAAAAAAACAAAAACAAAAGTGAAGGAATAAATGATTCCAACCCTCCTGCCTTCGGGTGTCCTTGGTGGTGTTGTTTCTTTCTTTTGTTTTTGTTTTTTTTTTTTTTTCAAGATGAGGGTTTCTCTGTGTAACAGTCCTGGCTGTCCTAGAATTTGCTTTGTAGACCAGGCTGGCCTCGAACTCACAGAGATCCACCTGCCTCTGCCTCCTGAGGGCTGGGATTAAAGGTGTGCGCCACCACAGTCCAGCTTTGGCATCCTGTGAAATACACTGTCACCTTCTCCTAAGTCTCTACTTACACCCAACCCCACCACATCTTACTGGCCCAGAGGAAGCTCTGGCCAGTCAGGTGCTTCCCTCCCACAAGCTGCCCACAGCATCCTTGGCAACAAATGGAAACGAAGTCCATCCATGCCGACAGGGAAGGTGACCTTCTCCGCAGATTCAAACAAAGGATACCCCTTCTGAGGCTGAAAACCAGCAGCCAGAGGGAGTCCCACTCTGTAACCAGGGTTGCCACTGCGAGGAACAGGCTTGCTGCCGTGCTGAAAGACAAGGGGATGTCCTGTGCAACATTACTTAGGCAGCAGTGGGGGCAACACAGTGCTTCTCGTGGTAACATCTGGAAGACAGCTCCCCTGCTCTGAAGTATAAATGGATCCCGGAGGGAGTAGGAGGACAGCACTCTGTGAGCCTGTGAGGCACGGGACAGCACCTGGCTTCCCGGCAAACCCCACACACCACTGCAAGTGCAGGCTGGGGAGCTGGGTCATGCTTCTAGACTGTGCCTCCCCCAGAAGTCAGGCTCTCCTTCAACTTGGCAGCGGAATAATTGAAGAGAACACTGAAACTTACCTGAATAAAGTGAATCTCAAACTTCTGCTGCAGGAGAGTCACTGTACTGCTGAATGTCCCCAGAACGAGGGAGAGGCTGGCTTCCTGGATCTGGCCTGTGGCTGTGTACAGCAGGCTGTACTTCACCTGGGACAGAACGGGGCTCATCCACCTCTGCCCACCACCGCTCAGCAGCCATGCTACCACCTCTGATGGAGCAGCCACAGAAAAGCCACAACCCCCGACTCTGCTGTCCAGTCACATCAGTGATGTCCCCTTAGCATCCCAGTAGACAGAGCCGCCACCTCAGCCTCTCTGTGACCAATTTTTTGATCTTACAGATCGGCCGACTCAAGCACAATTTGAACAGCCTACTTTGTAACTCTGCCTTCCTGCCTTGAGACACAGTCTCTCATGGAACCACAAGCTCTCTATTTTAGACAGGCTGGCCAGCCAGTGCACACTTGGGATCTGGTTGTCTGTACCCCAATGCTGGGGTTACAGCCAGGTACAGTAGCCATGCTTATTTTTAGTTTTTGTTTTTTTGTTTTCGAGACAGGGCTTCTCTGTGTAGTTTTGGAGCCTGTCCTAGATCTCACTCTGTAGACCAGGCTGGCCTCGAACTCACAGAGATCTGCCTGTCTCTGCCTCCCAAGTACTGGGATTAAAGGCGTGTGCCACCAACACCTGGCTCCTTCCATGCTTGGCTTTTTACATGGGTGCTAGGGATTCGAACTCAGGTCCTTATGCTTATGGAACAAACATTCTTACTTCACTGAGCCATCTCCCCAGCCCCCAACAAGAAAATTTTGCTGTACTCTTGTAAGGTGTTGGGTTTAGGGAGACATGTAAAGACGTGTCCTCTCCTGAGACAGCAGAGCAGCAGCAGAAACAACTCAGAGTCTGGCCCAGAGTTTTCCCTGGAGGGGGTGCGGCTCCCCTGCAGGCCGACGGCTGGAGTCAGGCAGTCAGAGCAGAACTGCGAAGGCACTCTGGGCACCTACCTGGAGAACAACGTTGCTGCAGAGTCTGTCTTGCCCAGTGCTGACCAGAGACGGCCGTAAGACGCCATGGCCTTCTAACCGGGTCAGCGTGTGATTGAGAGACCGATACATGACAGACTGGATCTTGATGGAGACCTGAGAGGGAAGATAGCCTTGGTTATCTGGGCTACATATAGCACAGGAGACTGTTACGGCAACCAAAGTCTAAAATGAACCTTTAGTAACAATAATGCAAAGCAGAGGACATGCACACTGCCATGCACTGCACCGTGTATGCCGTGAACCCACTTTTGCAAGAGTGCGGGTATTTCCATGAAAACACCCATATATACATATATCTTCAGAGAAAAGTCGGAAAGCAGCGTTCTCAGATGTCTATTCATCCCAGAGATGGAAACAGCCCAACAGTCCATCTGTATAAGGAATGCTACTCACCCATAAAAATCAAATCCCAGGCAGGAGAGATGGCTGCTCAGCAGTTAAAAGCACTGGCTTCTCTTCCAGGGGACCCAGGTTCGAGTCCCAGCACCCACATGGTGGCTCACAAGTGGCTGTAACTCCAGTTCCAGGGGATCTGACAGCCTCTTCTGGCCTCTAAGACTAGCAGGCATGCACATGGTGGACATACATACATCAAGCAAAACACCCATGCACATAAAATAAAAACTTAAAAAAAAAAAAAATCAAATCCCGAAACATGCTACAGCATGGGTGAGTCTTAAAGACGTCAAGTGAAAGAACCCGGACACCAAAGGTCACATATACTACAGATTCCACTAAACATGGAATGTCCACACAGGCAAAGCCACAGAAACCAAAATGGCCATCACAGACTGGAGCGAAACAGAGAAGACTATAGAGTGATGCCTGAGGGACCCAGAGATGCTCGGGTGATGAAAACATCCTGGGGCCAGACTGCAGTGATGCTGTCGCGACCTTGTGATGACACTAAATGCCACAGAGTTGGGCAGAACCCCAGCTTCAGCAAACCCTTGCCTCAGGAGATACACCCAGCCTTCACAGGCACCTCACACGGTGGCTGGCCAGGTAGGCAGCTGGTTTGAGGAAAGACAGAGCCAGACAAACTTTTTTTTTTTTTTTTTTGGTTTTTTTCAAGGCAGGGTTTCTCTGTGTAGTTTTGGTGCCTGTCCTGGATCTCGCTCTGTAGACCAGGCTGGCCTCGAACTCACAAAGATCCTCCTGGCTCTGCCTCCTGAGTGCTGGGATTAAAGGCGTGCGCCACCACCGCCTGGCCAGACAAACTTTTTTTTTTTTTTTTTGGTTTTTCGAGACAGGGTTTCTCTGTGTAGCTTTGCGCCTTTCCTGGAACTCGCTTTGGAGACCAGGCTGGCCTCGAACTCACAGAGATCCACCTGGCTCTGCCTCCCGAGTGCTGGGATTAAAGGCGTGCGCCACCACCGCCCGGCCAGACAAACTTTTTAAGGGACATCTGTCATTGTGACCAACACCAGAAGAGTAAAAAAGCAAGAAGCAATCCCCTAAGACAGCCACGCTGCTTCTGTCAAGGGCTCTCCATGAGTTGTGGGAAGCCACTATCCGGGAAGGTGCCCTAAACACCTGCTCATTTCACTGTCTTCAGTGAATGCAGAGCTGTTCATAACTTCAACTGGCAAGTGCTGGAGCTGTCACTCTGGAAACAGACGCAGTCTTTACACGCCTGCTCCCATGACCAAAGCAACCTACAACTGTCCTTCCAGGTCAAAATCACTTGATCCCACGGGGACAGTGTGGGGACATGAGTGATAGGAAAAAAAAAGGCAATCTCCACAACGCTCTGCCTGCCAAGCTGCCCCAACAGCTTGAGTCAAGTGGGAACCCTGGGCTGTGTCTTACAGACACCATGTGGACCGGGCAAGTTTGGAACGGTAGAATCAAAGCACTTTCGAGCGGCTGGAGGGATGTCACAGAAAGGCCTGACATATGTTTTGTTTTGTTTTGTTTGAGAACAGGATCTCACTGTGTTGCCCTGGCTGGCCTGGAACTCTCTATGTAGACCACACTGGCCTTGAACTCACAGAGATCTGCCTGCCTCTGCCTTTCGAGTGCTGGGATTAAAGTCATTTGCTTCTATGCCTGGGTAAAAATAAGTCTTAAGAAAAAAAAAAGTGGATGACTTGTGGAATGTAATGACCAACGGTCAACAACATATGCATACACATGTAGGCACCCCTGCCATCCCTACCCTGAGAAAGAGAGAGAGAGAGAGAGAGAGAGAGAGAGAGAGAGAGAGAGAGAGAGAGAGGGAGGGAGGGAGGGAGGGAGGGAGGGAGGGAGGGAGGGAGGGGGAGAGGGAGAGGGAGAGGAGGGGGGAGAGAGACAGAGACAGAGAGAGATAGAGACAGAGAGAGATAGAGACAGAGAGAGAGATGCTTTTACCTGTGTTGTTGAATTGGGCACCTAGACAAAATAAACCACAGTAAACTTAGTTAGGCACAACAAACATGCATTTATACAGCCTTTTCAGGCTTCAGCTAAGCCACTTTCATCCATTAGAGCCATCACTAAGACAACAGCAGTCCCCCCACTCAGGACTGGCCCTCTCGTGCTTCTAGTTATGCGCCAATCACTGTACTTCCCTCTACAACCTCGTCCTTCCCATCAGAAGCATCATTCCAGAGCCTGCCCGCTTTGGTGCCACTATTCCGAACCCCTCATGGCCCTGCTGTTTCTGAGAGGCCACCTCTGATGGTGGCGATAGGGCTGTTACCATCACAGTCATTAAAACACCAGATGATTTCTAAAGGTGTGAGCAGTCACTGAAGACCTGGCCTTGGTCAACTGCTACCAAGGTGAATGTACAGAAACAAGGTCCACCTGGAGCCCATACAAATGTCCTAAAGATGACTCCGGCAGCCACCGATGCCACAGTGCTAGAGAACACAACCTCCCACCCGGGCCAGGCACGTGCTGAGATCACTACATATCTGTGCAAAAAACAGAGCACAGTCCTGCATCAAGATGATCCTTACCCTCAGAATGGCAGGGCTGCTGTAATAAGCCATGCTGAGGGCCTCCATTCCTTCACACTCTTCTATGTCCACCCTTCGGCTGCATTCGAAGGCCTGGCTCACCAGGAATGCTGGAACATCCCGGGGTGGGGGAATACAGAACATGTTCAGCTAATGAATGGGAACTAAAACAGTCATGTAAAAAAGGCAAAATCTTCAACACAAATGCAGCGTGTTTCAAATGGGGCTTACAAACCGGGTCTCAACTAGGAAATGCACACACAAAATATGCTAAACTTAAAAGGCACAAAGGATACTGAACAGTGTCTTCCCCCAGTTCTGTCCCCCAACCAGGTCCCTGCCCCAGAGGGAGCAGCGTGACTAGCTGCTGAAGCTTTCAGAAACGTTATGCAAATAAAACAAAACACATACGTAAAAGGTTGGGTTTTTAAACAATTATTTTCCCCTTTTGGCCACAGATGCACGCACGATACTCTACACTGTGCATTTTTTTTCCACGAGCAATGACTGCATCCTGAAGACTCTCTAGCAGCCGTGAAGGGATAATTAGTGTTCTCTTGTGGATGTAGCATAATTACTCCCCAGTTCCCTGCTAATGGCCACTGCACTTGTCTCTGCCTCGGCTGCTGCTGTCACAGGCTGCATGGGGCGTTTGCACGTGGGCCAAGCCTTCCTGCAGGAGCTTGGGTAATGTGGATCCGTATGTTCCACCACCCTTGGCAGGGTGGGACCAACTGTTCCACAAGCTACTGCAGGAGAGTATCTGTTACCCACAGCTTCAAACTCTGAGCTGTGCCACTCTGAAAAGTGGAAATGGCTTCTTAGTCTGGCTTGTTTGCTTTTGGAGACAAGGTCTCGCGATGTAGCTCAGGCTGGCCTCAAACTGGTGGTCCTCCCTCCATCTCCCAAGAGCTAGGGTTCGAGGCCTGCCCACCTCACCAGGCTTCAGTTGGTTTTAACTGGCAGTGACCTACTATGTGCAGAAAGCTTCTTCTCAACAGAACCTGTTACCTAGTCGCTCATTACGGTCGCTCCCAGCTGGCTGAGGGTCAGACAGCCGTGGCTTTAGCCTTCTGTTCTAGGCTAGCCCTAGGCCGTGGCTCCTCGGCTCTCCTGGAAGAAGGGGGTCTTACCCAGGCACTCGAGCACAATGGTCTCAGTGTTCCCACTGTGAGACTCAGCCCAAGAATTCCTACACAAGCAGGCCTGGGGTGCACACGTGGGACCCCAGAACTGGGGAGACTGAGTTGGAAAGTCCAGGGTGAGATACACTGGGAGACCCTGACTCAGAAACCAAGTGAGAGCCAGCCATGGTGGCATGTGACTTGACCGCCAGCATTGGGAAAGCACAGGGAGGCCCAGAGGCAGGTAGGTCTGTGGGAGCTCCAGGCCAGCCTGCTCTAGGTATTGAGTTCTGAGGCAGCTGGGGCCACATAGTGAGACACTGTCTCAAAAACTAAAAATAAATAAACAAACAAATAAACAAAGCAAACAAATAGACAAAACAAGTGAAAAGAAACTGAAAGCCTCACCGGTCCACTTCTGAGGAAAAAAAACAAAAAACTAGTGATGTTAGCTGACCCCAAGGGATACTGTGCAAACCATTTCAATTTTTTATTACATTTGACCTGGGGGTGGGTGGCCGCACAAGAGATACAGGATGTGAGTGGAAGGCAAAGGGTAACCTATGGGAGTCGATTCCCTCCCTCCACTCCACGAGTCTCAGGGATAGAACTCCAGGTGCCAGGCTTGGCGGCAGGCACCTTTACCTGCTGAGCCACGTCTCTGGCTGCGGGGTGAAGGTTAACCAGGGGAACCAGCCTCGTGCAGCATGGCAAGCAGCACACATAAGTGCTTAATCAAATGCTGCAGAGATCTGCAATCCCCGAAATGTCTGTCAACGCGTCACTGTTTGCAGGTGCTTACCGCAGTGTTCAGGCAGCCAGTGACCAGGGTAGAAAGGACCTCTTCAGGCAGGACCTTTGAGGCCTCTCTGCCTGAAGCGTCCTTAGGTTATGAAGCCTGTTTACCTGGCAAGCGTACGTGACTGACAGGAGGAGCAGGGCACGCTCTTACCGGCAGGGTTCTGATCTGTGCACAGAGATGACGTCAGAGGCGAAGGCAGTCTAAGAAACGAACCTGAAGACGCGCCTGCAGTCTGCAGAGGAACTCCGTACTGCAAACACAGAACCCACAGGTGAGACAAGGCATTCCTTCAGCATGCACTGGATGCATGGCAGTGCCCACGGAGCTACGGGTTTGAGGACACGTGCTGAGCACAGTCCCTGCCACATAGGGCTCATTCTCAGTTGCCACCCACATCCACACACACCTTTTTCAAATAAATGTTAAATTCGTGTGATAGTGCACAGCTTTAATCCCAGCACTCAGGAGGCAGAGGCAGATGGATCTTTATGAGTTTGAGGCCAGCCTGATCTACACAGTCCCAGGCCAGCCAGGGCTACACAGCCAAACCTGTTGTGTTACAGTTTCCTTCAAGATCAAACCATTCTACCCTGCAGGAAGCTCCTTAAGCAGGAAGGTAAACACCTCAAAGGAGCTTCAGGAAGTCCCTGAAACTGACCAGATTCACTAGGCTCCTCCCTGCTGGAGTAAGCAAGAAAAGCTGAGAGTCCCTTTGAGACAAGCTGAAGAGCTGCAAAGGAGACTCTCAGACCAGCCAGGGCCTGGTAGGAGCAGAGACCAGCTGAGCTGCCAGGAAGAGGTTTAGATGAGTGGGTTCTCAGCGTGGGAGTTGAGTGACACTTCACAGGGGTTGCCTAAGACCATCCTCATGTCAAATAGTGACATCACGATTCATAACAGTAGCAAAATTACAGTTACGAAGTAGCAACGAAAATCAGTTTATGGTAGGAGGTCACCACAACATGAGGAACTGTTTTAAAGGGTCACGGCATTAGGAAAGTTGAGAACCACTGCTCTAGCCCCTTAATTAACTAACTAATTTATTCATTTGCTTATTTAGAGATGAGATCTTACTTTGTTGCCCAGGCTGGTCTTGAACTCCTCCAGGGCTCAAGTGGTCCTCCTGCCTCAGCCTCCCAAATGATGGGATTAAAGTTGCTTAGGGCAGGTGTGATGATGCATGCCTTTGACCCAGGTTTAACTGTGTCCTCTACTTGGGAGGCAGAGGCAGGCACATGTCTGTAAATCAGAGGTCAGCTCGGTCCACATAGGGGGTTAGGTGAACCACAGCTACATAGTGAGAGCCTATCTCAAGTAAATAAACCGAGGCTTGAGAGAACGTGCCCTCCTGCGTGTGCCTGCCACTGTACCGTTGCCTGTTTCATTATGAGATGCCCTTGGCACAGGATGAGAAGCTAAAGGAGCGTTTACCTCTGTGGACAGGAATCAGACGGCTGAGCACAGGCATGAACAAGTCACTGTTCAGTAACATTCATTTAAATGGCAGCTGTGACACTCATTAAAATCTTTAAGATTTTCTGTGTGTGGATGTGGGGGAGGGGCCGTGGAGGTCAGAGGTCAACTGGATGTCTTCCTCAATTGCTCTTCCTCTTAAGTTTTTGAGATCGGGTCTCTCTATTTACAACTGGAAGCTTGGGTCTGCTAAGAAAGGATGGTGGGGCAGGATGTTAAGAGCACACAGTGCTTTTGCCGAGGACCCAATTCAGTTTCTAAACCATCCCCCTTAAGGCAGCTCACAACCACCTGTAACTCCAGCTCAACGGGATCCAACGCCCTCTCCTGGCCTCCGCAGGCACTACACTCACTTGCGTATGCCCCCCCACACAAACATAATTATCCTGGTGTGGAGTTGCACACCATTGATCCCAGCACTCAAAGGCAGAGGCAGACAGATCTCTATGAGTTTGACGCCAGCCTGGTCTACATAGCAAGATCCAGGACAGTCAAGGCTACATAATAAGACCCTGTCTCAAAATAAATATAAACACATAATTAATGTTTTTTATTTAAAAAAAAAAAAGAGTGGATCATGGCTGGTGTAATCTTCCACTCAGGAGGTAGAAATGGGAAGATTATCATTTTAAGGACAAGCTGAACTAACTATACAGTGAGACTCGAAGATGAAAAATTCAAAACGTATAGAAGGGCTGGGCCTGGGGTGCTGGGGAATGCATGAGCAGCAGGGTCCCTTCCCCAGTGCTGCCAAGACTGGAATGCTGGGACACACAGCAGGCAGGCATGTCAGGATGTCCTGACACTGGTCCCCAAGCTCTTTTCCTGCTCTTGGTTCTCTCAGGTCAATGGCACAGCCGTGTGTCCTTCCCAGCAGTGTGTCCTTCCCAGGCTGTCTTCGGCAATGCTGAGAAAGCCCTCCACAGTGCCTGGCACACGGGGATGCCCACAGAACAGCAACCAGCCTTCACAGTGACATGGGAAGACACAAAGTACTTAATCCCTCAGTTCTGTTTTGAGGCAGGGTGTCGTGTAGCTCAGGCTGCTTTAAATTTGAATTCCTGCTCCTCCTGCCTCCACCTCCCGACCGCTGAGATCATAGGTGGGTACCAGTACGCCCAGCTTTGGAAAAGTACATCCAACATTAATAGGTTTGCTAATGAAGGGATATATAAAATAGTATACAGTGCCGGGCAGTGGTGGCGCACACCTTTAATCCCAGCACTCAGGAGGCAGAGGCAGGCAGATCTCTGGGAGTTTGAGGCCAGCCTGGTCTATGAAGTAAATGAGTTCCAGGACAGCCAGAGCTGTTACACAGAGAAACCCGTCTCAAAAAATCAAACAAACAAACAAAACAAAACAAAAAATCTAACTGCAGAAGTGACCTGAAATCCTGGGTTCAGAATTTGAACATCACTCGAATTCCCATGCTCTTTGAGAGGACAGCAATGACTCTCTGGTGTCATCCATGTCCCAAGGGCTGGCAGTTTGGCTTTCTATGTTGATACTGAAATTAGCTTATAGAGTATTTCAGGACAGATGAGAGACTGCCCTCAAGCTGTTGGCTCACCTCGTACTTAGTGGGCTGTGAGGCATCTGATGAGGCCGTGGAAGGAACATCTGACTCGACACTCAGCGTAAAACCACCTGACGCTTGCATCAGTCTGTCGAAATTGTTCTCGTTGGGCACTTCCGGATTAGCAAAGGACAGAGCGGGCTTGTCTGTTTTTAGACAAAGCGTTAAAAATCAGAAGAAATGTATGGAGAATGTGACAGCTCAACTTTGGAAACCCATTCTTAGTAGCAACAAGACTGATGTTAAGAGCCTGGCAGTGGTGGCACACGCCTTTAATCCCAGCACTCAGGAGGCAGAGGCAGGTGGATCTCTGTGAGTTCGAGGCCAGCCTGGTCTACAGAGCGAGTTCCAGGACAGCCTGGGCTACACAGAGAAACCTTGTCTTGAAAAACAAAACAAAAAACAAACAAACAAAAAGACTGATATAAGAAAAGTTTTTCTGGGCTATCTAGATGGTTTAGCAGGTAAAGGCGCTTGCCGCCAGGCCCGGTAACCTCAGTTTGATCCCCAGGACCCACACAGTGGAAAGAGAGAACTTACTCTAGAAAAGACACCCTCTAACCTATGCATGTGTGCACACACACAAACAAAGGTAATTTAAAATGATTTCTTGTTGGAATGTAGTGGCACATGCCTTTAATCCCAGCACAGGCAGAGGCAGGTGGGTCTCTGAGTTCAAGGTTTACAGAGTGAGTTCCAGGACAGCTAGGTTACACAGAGAAACTCTGTCTCAAAAGAAAAAAAAAAAGTTTTCTTGTATATTTGCCTCTCCTGGGATTTCTTGAGGCTTGTTAAGTGAACAGAATCCCTAATCATCATGAGTTCAAGACCATCCTGGTCTATATGGTGAGCTCCAGGCCAGCCAAGATACACGAGACCCTGTCTTGAGAAATCAATAAACAAACAGAATTAGTAGACCTGGCTGCATGTAACAGTGTGGTTGGTAGTGATTGCTTCGAAGGCCTGCAGGGAAACAACACAGCAGAAACCAAGAGACAGAGCTGGTCACTTTCTCCAGCGCACAGACAAGCGTCTGTCTCTTCCCACTTCCAGGGAACACTCTCTGGGGGGCAGTGGGAAGATAAGACTCATTCATCTCTTGGCAGCCACCTCCTGTGCTGGGTACGAAGGGAGAAGAAGAGGAAGGCTCCATATCCACTGGGCTGCTGTTATAGCTTAGATAGTCATCGCCGCTGGGCAGTGGTGGCGCACGCCTTTAATCCCAGCACTTGGGAGGCAGAGGTAGGCAGATCTCTGGGAGTTCGAGGCCAGCCTGGTCTACAAAGTGAGATCCAGGACAGGCACCAGTCATTGCCAGTTGTCACTGAGGATAAGTCTCAGCACATTCCCCCAAGTCTTTAATCAGGAGGAACACATCCCAAATACGGAAAGACTTTGGGATAAGATGATGAAGGTGAACTGCCAAAGCCATGAGTGCCTCTGCTCTTTGATATCCTGAGAACAGCACACACTCAGGAGCAGCACACTGCCTAGGCTGACTGCTCAGGTAAAAATAAAGATCCTGCATTCATGCAAATACTCTCAGTAAAAATAAAAAAGAAAAAGGAAATGGAAACCACAGGTAACATTTAAAGATGAAACTGATTTTCAACTATTACTCCAAGAGGAAATAAACGTGCATGCACACACATGCACGTGTGTACATGTCTGTGCGCACACGCAAGCACGCAAGCACACACACACACACACACACACACACACACACACACACACACACACCCCAGATTCCTATGTCTACAGCACATAAACCTCTTTGAAGTCAAGCATGGGATAAAGACAGCCAGCAGCGTAAGGACTTGAAGACAGTGTGTGCCAAGGACCTATAAAGTTACTGTAAATTCAGCCTCCAGCCTTGAATTATTCACACAGCCCACACCCAGGATGGGTGCTTTAAATGGAACTGAATGAGATATTTTCCCCAAAAAGAAACTTTTAAAAAGAAAGACAGGGCTTCACAACATCTATCAAAGTCAAATACTTACAGTTTGAAATATGGACGCAGAAGATGGAGGGGTTGATCTGCTCAGTGAGTCTAAAGACGCGGTGAGGAGGGTCTGCCGTCAAGTTCATCGAGTAGACGGCTGCCTTCTGACTACAGAACTGCCCATCACCCCTGAGAGTCAAAGAAAACGACAGCGGGTTGGCCGTGCACAGTCCACGCCAGGCCGTCTCGTCTCCAGATCCTTCACTACACTAACAAGAACCACAAGGACACCGATGGAGTCGGACGTCACAACAGATTCGTTTGTGTTTATTTGCTGTTACAAGTGTGGTACTGAAGCTTTTATCTCTAACAGAAAGAAGACAGGCACAATAACTTTGGCCACGCATGCTGGTGCACGCCTGTACTCCCAGCACCGGAGCGGTAGAGCCAAGTGGGTCTGTGAGTTCAGGTCTACACAGCAAGTTCCACGTCAGTCAGAGCTACACAGACCCTCTCTCAAAAAAATATAATAATAATAACAACAACAACAACAACATTTAAGGGAAGGCTGCTGGGTATGGAGTATAGTGCACTTTTCCACAAACTTGAACAGCATTAAGATTATGGTATTTTGGGAGCTGGAGAGGCGGCTCAGTGGTTAAGCATTTACTGCCCTTACAGAGAACCTAGGTTCAGATCCCAGAACCCACATCAAGGCAGCTCATGCCTATAACTCCAATTCCAGGGGATCTGACACTCTCTTCTGGATTCTGTGGGCACTACGTGTAACCAGCACACACAGCACACACAGGCACACACACATATAAACAAAATAAATATAAAAGCATACCAGGAAGTTTTAAAAGTATTTTTATTATATTTGTTTAATGTGTGTGTGTGTGTGTGTGAGAGAGAGAGAGAGAGAGAGAGAGAGAGAGAGAGAGAGAGAGAGAGAGAGAGAGGGCTGCTTTTTCCACGGCACACATGTGAAAGTCAGAGGACAATTTACATGAGTCAGTTCTCCTTTTACTATGCAGGTCCTAGAGCTCAAGCTCAGGTCAGCAGGCTTGGCAGGAAGCGCCTTTACCCACTGAGCCATACTGCCCTGCTCTCTTCCCCATTCTATCTCAGCTACCTGTTCGTTCAGCCAATGTTACAGCCTAGAATGCCTGTCCCCAACTTGTGCTTGAGACTCAGGACTCAGCACAGCTCGGACCGTCTTTTCTAGAAAGCCTTCCCGGCCTAGCTGAGGTAGACGGCATTCTCTGGGGTTCCTCAGGGCCTGCCTCATTCACCCTCTCCCTCATGCAACAGAAAGCTCTTCAAAGCAGCAGGGCAAACTCAGCTCCATGTCTCTAGTGCTCAGAGGAGGTGCTCGAGAAGGCACAGAAGGTGGCCAAGTGTAGAGTCCCTGCCTAGCCCATGCCAGGCCCTGCTTCCGTCCTGCTCCTCCTGCCCTACAAAGAAGGCCAGGAAGAGGCAGAAGCCACGAGCCTCGGGCTTGGTGTCTGCCTGAAAGGTGACAACAGCGGAGGTCAAGCCAGAACTCTCTTACCTTAGTCAACTGGCGTGTGTCACCAGGAACCACACACCGAGAGCCTGGCACACGCTAGCTCAGCGCTCTCCCACTAAGTGGTATCCCTGCTGGTCAAGACAATTTAACGAAGGCCCGTTACATGGTATCAGCTGGGCAGGCACTGACAGCACCTACAATAGATACTCCTGTCCTCACGAAGGTTCCATCGGGTGGGGGACAGATTCACGCAGATGCCCACCAGTAGATTTCCAAGTCATCATACGACAGGAGTTGTTGGTAGTTAAACATAATGAAACCTTTATGAACTGGAGCCTATATAATGGGGCACTCTACGAATTAGCATTAGGGCTTTCGCTATTTTTTTCTTTCTTTTTTAGAGATAAGGTCTCCCTATAATTGCCCAGGCTATTTCCAACACAGGAGCTCAAGTGATCCTCCTGCCCCAGGTCTCCCCAAGGAGCTGTGACTACAGTAGCATGTAATTTGGTTCATAATTCTTTTGGCGGGGTGGGGGCAGATATCACAAACAAAACTAAGTTTTAAAAAACAGAAGTTGAGCTGGAGAGATGGCTCAGAGGTTAAGAGCACTGACTGCTCTTCCAGAGGTCCTGAGTTCAATTCCCAGCACCCACATGGTGGCTCACAACCATCTGTAATGAGATCTGGTGCCCTCTTCTGGCCTGCAGATGTACATGCAGGTAGAACACCGTATACAAAAAACTCTGAAGTCTTTTCCTAAGCGATTTCGCCCTAAATCTTGTAGTTTGTTGGTTGTTTGATTGTTTGTTTATTAATTTTTTTTTAATTCTTTTCAGGGGCCCACCACCTGGCTCCTAATAAAATACACAGTGATTCATTCTTACTTACGAATGCCTGGCCTTAGCTTGGCTTGTTTCTAGCCAGCTTTTCTTAACTTAAATTATCCCGTCTACCTTTTGCCTCTGGGCTTTTACCTTTCTTTCTTTCTCTTTTTTTTTTTTTTTTTTTTTGGTTTTTTTGAGACAGCGTTTCTCTGTGTAGCTTTGCGCCTTTTCCTGGAACTCACTTGGTAGCCCAGGCTGGCCTCGAACTCACAGAGATCCACCTGGCTCTGCCTCCCGAGTATGGGATTAAAGGTATGTGCCACCACCGCCCGGCCCCTTTCTTTATTCTATATATCTATCTTTCTTCCCTTCTTACTCTGTGGCTGGCCATGTGACTGACCCCTGACGACCTCCTCTCCTTCTTCTTTCCTCGCTCCTCCCTCTTCTCCTATTTATTTTGCCTAGCAGCCCCGCCTATCCCTCTCCCCTGACTGGCTATTGGCCGTTCAGCTCTTGATTAGACCATCAGGTGTTTTAGACAGGCACAGTAACACAGCTTCACAGAGTTTAACAAATGCAACATAAAAGAACACAACACATCTTTGCATCATTAAACAAATGTTCCACAGCATAAACGAATGTAACACACCTTAAACTAATATTCCACAACAGACTTTCAAGTCCACAGATGAGTTGTTTTTATAAGATTTATAGACTACAGGCCTGCCTGCTCAGTCACACATCCGTGGCAGATTTTGCTCAGCTACAACACTCACGTGACTTGTGAAGACTAACATGTTGCCCTGCTGGCCCTATGCCATCCTCTGTTCTGAAAACTACAGTTTACATCTAGAATTACTGTATTTGGTGGCCAGCAAGATGGCTTGTAAGGTAAAAGCACCTGCTGCCAAGCTGATGACGTGAGTTTGATCCCCGAGACCCACTTGTGCTGTGGGATGTTTTTCTATATGCTGTGAATATATGCTGCTCCTATTGGTTAATAAACAAAGCTATTTGGCCAATGGTGAGGCAGAATAAGGTGGTTAGGTGGTACATTCAAACAGAAGATGGAGAAGAAGAAGGGTAGAGTCAGAGGAGATGCTGCAAGCCGCCGCCAGGAGAAGCAAGATGTGAGAGAGCAGATAATGCCAGGAAGCCACGTGGCAAAACACAGATTAATAGGAATGGGTGGAGTAAGACGTAAGAGCTAGCTAACAAGAAGCCTGAGCCATAGGCCATACTGTTTGTAATTAATATAAGCCTCTGGGTGATTATTTTATAAGCAGCTGTGAGAGCTTGGGTGGGAGAGATTCATCTGGACCATGTGTCTAGGTGGGACCAAGAAACTTCCGCCTACACACATGATAGAAGGGGAAAATTGATTCCCTAAAGTTGTCCTCTGACCTCTACTTGGGCACCATAGTTTGAGCACACATATACACACAAATAAATAAATATGTAATTTTAAAAGGCTGCACAGGGGCTGGGTGTTATGATGCGTGTCTTTAATCCCGGTCCTCAAGAAGCAGAGGCAGGCAGTTCAATGCCAGGCTGGTCTACAAAGTGAGTTCCAGGACAGCCAGGGCTGCATAAAGAGACCCTGTCTCAAAAATTTAAGGGGGCCAGAGCAATGACGCATCGGTTAGTTAAAAGGGTGTACTGCTCTTGAAGAAGACCCAAGTTTGGTTCCCAGTACCTAGGCTGGGCGGCTCAAAACCTCCTATGACTCCAGGTCCAGAGAACCCAACACCCTCTTCTGGCCTCAGCAGGCAACTATACTCATGTGCATACCCTCCCCACACTCTGCCTAAGACACACATGCATACACATAATTAAAAATAAAAATAATAAAAGGTAGCTGGGTGGTGGTAGCACATGCCTTTATTCCCAGCACTCAGGAGGCAGAGGCAGGTAGATCTCTGAGTTCAAGGCCAGACTAGTCTACATAAGAAGTTCTAAGCCAGCTAGGGATATACAGTGAAACCCTGTCTCAAAAAAACTTAATTACTGTATTTTAATAAATGGCACTCCAATTCAAAAATGACATTCTCTTCCCCCCCCACCCCCAGCTGAGGATGGAACCCAGGGCCTTGGGCTTGCTAGGCAAGCGCTCTACCACTGAGCTAAATCCCCAACCCCAAAAATGACATTCTTACAGGGCTGGTGGTATATGCTTACAGACCCAAGACAAGAGCAGACTTATTTTCAAGGAAGGCTAAACCATGCTCTAGTCCTGGAAGCCAGAAAAGGACCCCCTCCAGCAACCTGCTCTCCAAGCTTCTTCACAACGTTTGAGGGGGATTCGGTTTCTCCGATGGGTTGATAAAAGGATTTCCCATGGCAAGAGTCCACTGTGTTTCCAAAAGGACTAAGCCTGCCATGTGGCTGTCACTGAATTTCAGTCAGCTCTCTCTGCAGGAAGCTGGTCCCACCCTGAATGCATGAACCTTTTCAAGGGGCCACTATTTTTTGCAAAACCCTCTGACACAGGAGACGAGATTACTCAGAACTGATCACTTCTTCACCTTGCATCCCCATGAGAACGTCTCTCTCATCATTTCCCAGGCACTGTGAACTGAGAATCAATCCTTGCTTTGTTTATAACCAGAGAGGTGCACAATTAGTGTCCACAGAAAGAGCTGGGAAAGACAGGGGCTGGGGAGGTGGCTCAGTGGGTAAAGTGCTCGACTCAGAAGCATGAGGGCCTAAGTTCGGTTCCCAGCATGGATAAAAGCCAGGCACTGGTGGGTATCTGTATCAGGGCACCGGGCAGGGGAGGACAGAAGCCGTCAGCCAGCCAGTCTGGCCAAAAAAACAAAAAGGAGCTCCATGTTCAGTGTGAAGACCCATCTCAAAAATGAAGGTGGAGCTGGGTGGTGCTGCTCTAGGCCTTTAATCCCAGCACTAGGGAGGCCAGCCTGGTCTACAGAGTGAGTTCCTGGACAGCCAGGGCTACACAGAGAGACCCTGTCTCGAAACAAAATTAAGGTAGAAAGCAATAGATGACGAGACCCATGTTGACCTCTGGCCAACACCTATGAATACAAAGATAAGCACACCCATACTATACATGCACACCCATGCATATACTATACACACACACAAAGGTGCGCGCACACACACCTAGGCGCACACACACCTAGGCTGTATGAGACAAATTCACAGGTACAAACTGGTGACACATTATCTCTGCACAGCTCAAATATTAATCTACAAACACAGAGGGTCTTACTTCATAACACTCCAGAGCAGTGGTTCTCAACCTTCCTGATGCTGCGACCCTTTAATACAGTTCCTCATGCTGTGCTGACCCCCAACCATAAGATTATTTCATTGCTACTTCATAACTGTAATTTTTTTTTCTGGTTATGAATGGCAATGTAACTATCTGATATACAGGATATCTGATATGTGACCCCCAAAGGTCACGACCCCACAGGTTGAGAACCGATCCTCTAGAGGTAACACACGTGCCCTCCCATTGCCCACACTGTTGTGGGGTTGCACGCAGACAAGCAACTGCTTCTGACACACAGGGCTTCGCACAGCAGGGCTTCTGAATAGTGAGGAACACGCTTTGTGTCCGCAAATTTCATCGTCCTGGCCAAGCTGCCATCAGAACTCCCTGTCGTATGCTTACGTGACAACTGGGACTGAGCAGGCAGAGAAGACGCTGAAATCCATGGTGCTGCAGTCAGGGTCACAACAGCAGTTGACATCGCACTGTGCTGGAAGGAGGTCGCAGACACACAGAGCAGCAACTGAGGAGTAAAGACAGGGAAGGGGGTGTTCAGAGGGCCACAGAGGGTAGACTGTTACTGCTCCCTGCCACCAAAGGACCCCAGAAGTCAATGTCACAAAATATCTAGTTTCTATGGTGCTTGGGGGAAAGCTACATCAGTCACTTTGCGTACCCCACATCAGCGTCTCCCTGAGGTGGCTGCAGATGCCTGCACTCCTCCTTCAGAGCAGATTCCAAGGAAGGATTGTTGGGCAATTCATCCCTTTCCTCACACACCCCGGTTGTTTTTTATTTTCAATTTTTTTTTTTCCAAGAAAGGGTCTCTCTGCCTTGGCTGTCTTGGAACTCACTCTGTAGACCAGGCTGGCCTCAAACCTGGAGATCCCCCTGCCTCTGCCTCCTGAGTGCTGGGATCAACCATTGGGATTAAAGGCTTTTTCAGCTGGTTGCTTTGAAACTGAACTCCTAGTCATAAGATCCTGACCAATAAGCAAATGTTCCTATTTTGGCTTAAAATGTCCTTTTTTCTTTTCTTTTCTTTTAAAGACAAGGTTTCTCTATGTAGCCCTGGCTGTCCTGAAACTCACGCTGTAGACCAGGCTGGCCTCGAATTCAGAAATCTGCCTGCCTCTGCCTCCCGAGTTCTAGGATTAAAGGTGTGCACCACGACTGCCCAGCCAAAATGTTCTTTTTTTTTTTTTAATTTTAAAATTTACAATACAGGGTAATAAATTTATGGCAGGATAACACAGCATGGAGGAAAAGCAGGAACCCCACTCCTCACTCTGGTAGCAACTCTGACCTTATCCACCCTGCCGGTCATCTTGACTCTTCAGCACTCCACTGTAAGCCCCCCTTCACAGACGGAGAAGCTCCACATGAGCAGAGAGAGCCTCCTCCAACAGTCTCCGAGAGTTTTGGGCACTGAGTATTTGACTACACTGTTTCAATTCATTACTAACGTTACTGCCCTACTCATTCATTCTCTGTCAAACAGAGAAAAACCCCTTGGAAGAAATAACAGAGAGCCTGGGAGCTGGGCGGTTCAGAGCACCGGCTGCTCTTGCAATGGATCTAACTTTGGTTCCAAGAACCCACATGACAGCACACAGCCATCTGTAACTCCGGTTCCAGGGGATCTGATGCCCTCTTCTGGCCTCTGCAGGTACCAGGCACCCTTAGAGTACACAGATATACATGCAGGCAAAACATCCATCCACATAAGATAAAAATGAATAAATCTTTTTTTGGAAAACAATCTCAAGCTACAAACAAAGGAAAGAATTTTAGTAAAATGCTTATAGGATGTCACACTGACATTCTTGAATGTCTGAATGAATGGTTTCACAATTGAAAATAGCTCGAGAGACAGGAGGCCAACACCTGTGCCTCCCAGTCAAAAAGGTATGCAGGTTATAGGCCAGTCTGGTCAACTTAGCAAAACTGTCAGGAAGGGAGCTAGGCAGGAAGGAGAAGGCGGAGACTGGAAGGGTTTTGGAGCAGGCTGGAGATATGGTTCAGGAGTTAAGAGCACATACTGCAGGCTGGAGAGATGGCTCAATGGTTAAGGGCACTGGCTGCTCTTCCAGACGTGAGTTCAATTCCCAGCAACCACATGGGGGCTCACAACCATCTGTAATGAGATCTGGTGCCCTCTTCTGGCCTGCAGGAATACATTCATGCAGGCAGAACACTGTATACATAATAAATAAATCTTAAAAAAAAAAAAAAAAAGAACACATACTGCTCATGCACAGGACCCAAGTTCTATTCCCAGCACCCAAGTCAGGCAGCTCACAATCACTGAATCCAGCTCCAAGGGCTCTGAGGCCCTCTTCTGACCTCCGAGGGCACCAGCACTCATGTGCACAACTCACACACAGATATGCAAATATACACACATAATTTAAAATAAAATTTAAGTTTTAGAAAAATACCCCCCAACGGTATAACATGCTCTAGAGAAGCATAAAGAGAAAGGAAAGTTTATTGATAAATGCATAAAGCTTTCTTAGTCCAAGAGACAAATGTGCTCCCTCTAAGAGAAGATTCTCTTTAGCCAAGGACACCTGTGTATGCTCACTAAAATAATACTGAAATTCCTGAACTGGGACTGGAAAATAAAGGGAGCAATTAGGCCCACCGCCTCACGTGTTTAAAATTGTAACACGATTTGTTGTCAAAGCTTCGGGCCCTGCTAAGTAACTAGATAAGGATTAGACACATGATGGGGTTGTTGTGAGGATTAAATGAATTACCTCACAGTAAAATACTTGGCAAGGTGCCTGCCACACAGTAGAGAGTTAATAAGTGAGTTCTACTCAGTGAAGAATTGTCCTTTAAAATGATGAAGTGTAAGGCCGGGCGGTGGTAGCGGCGCACGCCTTTGGTCCCAGCACTCGGAAGGCGGAGGCAGGTGGATCTCTGTGAGTTCAGAGGCCAGCTTGGTCTACAGAGTGAGTTCCAGGACAGCCAGGGCTACACAGAGAAATCCTGCCTCTAAAAAAATAAACCAACACCCCCTCAAAGAAAAACCTTATGGAGTTTCAGACACAAAATACCTGGCTATATTGTCCCTACATATAATGATTTGACTTCTCTGCTAATTCACAAGTCAGCAGGTTAAACACAAAGCAGAGAGTCTGGTTTATATATTCAAGTATCAAATGTATTATTCATTTGTTTCCCCGTTTGACGTTGGAGATTGAACCCACTGCCTCCTACATGCTAAGTGAACACCCAACCACTGAACCACACCACTCACCAGCCTTTGTATTTTTTTTTCTCATAAACTACTCATAGTTTTCAAAGGAGGCCTCCAAAAAGAATAAGCTGAAATTAACTCGAAGAGTTCAGGATAGCAGCCAAAGACAATTCTTTTGAGTTATCTATATGCTCAGCCTTACTGGGTGAAAGATCTTTTTCTCTCAAACAGTAATAAAAATCACACACAAACACACACTGCTACTCTCAATCCAGACAAGACTGTCTGAAATTCTTTTTCTGAAATCACAGCTCCACTGAGAACCTAATGACTGCTACAAACCCTCACCCTAGGAAAAAATGCGGTTACAAAATTTCACAAACTCAAAGGGTCACAGAGCCCCTGAAGTCACAGGTGTAAAGTCAGATTATCAAATAATCACTAAATGTGTAACTCCAAGACTAAAAGATCAGTTTCTCGGCTGGTGATATGGTACAGATAAAGGCACTTGCCAACAGGCCAGGCACCCACTTGGTTTGGGAGGAGCAAATTTCAAGCTGTCCTATGACCTCCACATGGCCGTGGTATCTCGTGCCCAAATATATAAATAAGTAAATGCAATTTTTTTTTTTTTTAAGTAAGACCAGTTTCTGCGACACATTCATTATCCATAAACACAAACCCTCATATCTGGGCCTAAGCCCTTACCTTACACTTTCCCTCCTCCCACTCAACACTGGAGGCAAGCCGAAATCAACAGAGAAAGGCCTTCCCCATTCCTTCTAAGTGAGCTACACCTTTGGCGTCTGAAACGTACTCATTGAAAAGTTCAACAGAGCCTATGCGTTCATTTCCTCCACGTTCCAGAAACTAATTTCATCTTCAGCTGCGCGAATTTATTCATTATGAACTCTGGCATGAACATTGCCCGGGACTACTGAAGTTTTCCAAGATCTGAGAGTGTCCCACTTAGGCCCCGCTTTCCGCGCTCCGGTCTCCCTCTCTGGGTGATGACAGGGAGCCTGAGAAGGATGGAACTTGGAGCGGTTATCATTTTTCCTACGTTCTCACTAGTCTTCTACCCGCTCCAGGGAGTTAACACTTTGTACCCACCGTCCGTGACCGGGGTGGGCCTGGGGCCAGAGAGCTCCGGAGCCCTGGGAGTCCCCGGGGTCCTAGGCGACGAGGAGGGCCTGAGAGTGGCTGGGGTGGCCTCGGTGGAGTTGAGGTCCTCCTCCGTCATGGTCGGGGTGGCCACAGCCGGGGTAGCCGCAGCCGGGGTGTCCACGGCCGGGGTGGCCACAGCTGGGGTAGCCGCAGCCGGGGTGGCCAAGGCCGGGGTAGCCGCAGCCGGGGTGGCCACAGCTGGGGTAGCCACGGCCTGGGTGCTCGCTGAAGCGCAGCAGCTCAGGAGCACCAGCAGGAGCAGCGGGAAGCCCCGCGGCCCCATGGCGGAGCAGAGCATCCCGGGCCCGGGACTCAGGCCTGTGAGTTGCCAGGCAACACACACAGCCGAGCGCAAGGTATCATGGGAAAGGGCTCCCGAGGCCGCCGTAGTATGAAGGAGGAGGTGGAGCCTGGAGCCAGGCCTGTGGGGATAGGCTTAAGGCCCGACAATCATGACGGGGGCGGGGCTAGGGGCGGAGACTACGCCACGCTTGTAAGGTCCGGACTGAGTGGGCACTGCAGGGGCGGGGACTAACCAAAAGAGGGGGCGGGGCCAGGACCTGCGGGGGCGGAGCCTGAGGCTGCTCTTTCTGGTTGTGACAGCCTGCCGGCTTCCGGGCGGTTTCAAAAATGTAGATTCCAAGCTACAGCCTCATGGTATTTGGAGTCAGTCAAGTCTAGGACAGAGCTTAGAAGTGAGTATTTCTAATGAAAAGACCCGCAGCTGATGGGTGGAGGGAAATTTAGAAGCGATTCGGGTCCTTTGAAGGAATATGGAGTTCAGTCACATCTCCACCATCTTTGAATTCCCTATCTCAGATCACTGGCTTTGCCTCCTTTGCCTTTAGATAGATCGCAGGAGGTCGCCAGACGACTTCTACCCACGGTATTTATGATGAGGAAAAAAAACCAAAAAAAACCAAAACCCACCTTAATTAAACAGGATCTCACTGTGTAGCCCAGACTGACCTCAAACTCAGGGCAGTCCTGCCTCAGTCTCCAAAGACAGGCGAGCGCCACCGCGTCCAACCTCCATTTCTGCCTTTATGATTATATGACTTGGGGAGGTTTTTTTCAAGTCTTTTTTTTTTCAAAAGGTTTATTTGTTTATATATTTTATGTATATAGGTGTTTTGTTTGTATGCATGCATGCACACCAGAAGAGAGCAACAGATCTCATGAAAATACAGTCATAGATGGTTGTGAGCCGCCATGTGGTTGCTGGGAAATGAACTCAGGACCTCTGGAAGAGCAGCCAGTGCTCTTAACAGCTGACTCATCTCTCCAGCCCCTCCTGAAGTCTTATAGTCCCAAGCTTCCAACCATTTTGTGAAAAGTCCTCCAAGTCCTCTTGTCCAATTGCAGTCCCTGATGAACCCAGTGTAATTGTTTGACCTTTGACTTCTGTAAAAGTCAAAATGTGGCCAGGCAGTGGTGGTGCACACCTTTAATCCCAACACTTGGGAGGCAGAGGCAGGCGGATCTCTGTGAGTCTGAGCCTGGTCTACAGGCAAGTTCCAGGACAGGCTCTGAAGCTACCCAGAGAAACCCTGACTTGAAAAACCAAAAAAAAAAAAAAAAAAAAAAAGGAAACCACCAGTACACCAGTACATCCATCTATGCTGGAGTTTCTTCCCAGCCAACATTTTTATTGGCAACAAGTATCCCCAAACTGAATATATTGCAGATGTTCATCCATTTACTGGGCAGTAGAATTTGGTTTGTTTCCAGTGATTTTTTTTTTGTTTTTTGTTTTAAGATTTATTTATTATGTACACAGAAGAGGGTGCCAGAACTCATTGCAGATGGTTGTGAGCCACCATGTGGGTGCTGGGAATTGAACTCAGGACCTGTGGAAGAGCAGTTAGTGCTCTTAACCTCTGAACCATCTCTCCAGCCCACAGTGATTTTTACAAAGCCATTCTGACCGGTTTGCTGTGGACTTTAAGGGGGCGTGTGTTTTCATTTCTCTTGGATGCCCTTCCGAGGAGTGTGTCCTACAGTCCTGTGGGTTCCTAAGGTTATAGGAAACTGCCCAACGTTTCTCCAGAGCAACTTTCCAGCTTTGTTGTCTCCACCAATAATCCCTTAGCTCCAGTTTCACAAGCTCTTGAAACACTGGGAGTTTAGGTACACTCAATTTTATTTCCGTTTTTGGTTTTGGCTAACTTGAAAGGCCTTTGTTGGTATCTCACTGTTGGTTAATTAGTTAGCTGTTGTTGTTGTTGTTGTTGTTGTTGTTGTTTTTAAGACAGGGTCTCTCATTTAGCACAAGCTGGCCTAAAACTCTGTATGTAAGTAAGAATGACATTGGACTTCTGGTCTTCCTGCTCCCACCTCCCAAGTGGATGAGGATGGCAGGTACCTATCACTATACCCAGTATATATGACACCAGAGATAAACCTGGGAGTTCATTCCTACTAGATAAGCGTACTACCAACTGAACCATCTTCCCAGCTGTTTGTTTGTTTGCTCTGTGTGTGTGTGTGTGTGTGTGTGTGTGTGTGTGTGTGTGTGTGTGTGTGTGTGTGTTTGAGACAAAATCTTACTGTGTAGCCTCCATCCAGTCTCCCAAATGATGGAAGTGCGGGTGTGTGCATCCTCAACCTAGTTGGCTCTTAATCCCACTGATGTGAAGTGACACATTGACTTTGTAGTTTAATTCTGAGGTATTAAATGCACCCAGAGTCTGAGCCCAGGTGTCGTGACTCACTTGGAAGGCTCAGGCAGGAGGACAGTCCCAACTTCAAGGCCACCCTGAGCTGCATGGAAAGATCTTGTCTGAAAGAAAGAAAAACAGAAAGGAAAGCAGATGCATATTGTAGTACGAATTCTAATTGGTCTTGATAATAAAAACCCGGAGTCAGATATCATGGTAAATGCTGAAAGATCAGAGGGACAAAGGAGCAAGCCACAACCACTTCTTCCCTCTAGGAATCCGCAGACTGAAAAGGGGGCTGAGCTCCTGTCTCCTCCCGCCTTATATTCCTCTCTCCACCTATCATATCACTTCCTGTCTCCACTCACTAGTGGATGGATTAATAATGTCTGCCACTGGTGCAGGGAACCACAGTGGCGGGTCTGCCATGAACCATCAGGTTTTTACCCTATATATAGGGAAAGTGGGACTCACCTGAAGTCAGGGTTGGTTCCCCGCATCTCCAATACTGTTCTCTAGAGATCTTAAAACTGGCAGGGTCTAAGCATAGAATAGCAACAAGAGTACTCTTGAAGATCTTTGAGAAACTCAGTTTCTATAGCATAGACATGGTTTTAGATACAACACAGAATGGTGAAATTCACCTTGTTGACTCAAGTATTTAACGTTTTGTTCTGTTTGGGGACCTTACCACACTGGGGATTTTTCCAGTCAGTGATGGACAGACTCTGGCACAAGTGCCCCCACACACACATTCTGACCCAAAGGGGACACAGCACACGCCCAGTATAGGGATCCCCATAGTCATAGGCTATCCTAAGGAACTACAAGCAACATCAAAGCTGGGTTCTTTCAGCCACTTTGACCAGGTGGTTGATGGAAGTTGGACCATTGTCCTAGGAGCAGGAGATAATTTGAAGTGATGACTTTCACCTGTGCTTGGTCAAACCTAACTAGAAAAGTGAGCAGGGGGTGGCTTTTGGGGGACTTAAAGGTAGCTGCCCCCTGAGTCAGGATGTGTGGTTTATAACACTGTTAGTGTTCATGGCCCCACTACAGAAAGAGCTTGACTAGTCTATTTGAGCATCCTCAGTCTCCAAGTCTCTACTGCAGCTGACAGCTCTGGATACTGTAGACCTGTCCTCTCAGCTCCAAGGTAGGTAAGCCAAGAACGTGTGAGAAAAGGCAGCACAGCTTCTCCGACACCGTGAGACTTCCAACCCAGTGTGCATGCCCCTGTGTAAGCCAAGAACAGGGCCAGAACTGGGCACAACTCTCTGGAATTGTTGTGTTACAAAGCAGAAAGGTGGCTCTGGGAAGATGGCCCCACTTTTAGCAGGGCCCTGGTTAAGTTGGGAGTTTGTCTTTTAGACTCAGAAGTCAGATTCGGAACAGTGAGGGTTCAGTGGCTCATCACTGTTGGCTTGAAGATTAGCTGAGCTCTGTGAGGTAGGAGGCTCAGGGGCTGGGGCGGTAGCCATACTGACGAGCCAAAGATATCAATCCTCCATACCCAGGACTGAATTATAAATGTGAGTTTAGATTTGCCACCTGGGGGGGGGGGCGGGGGCGGGGCAAAGGCCCAGCTTAACACATGAATCTCTGTTCAGATTAGAGAGGACCCTCAGTTAGTCTTTAAGACTAGAATATTGCCGGGCGGTGGTGGCTCACGCCTTTAATCCCAGCACTCGGGAGGCAGAGCCAGGCGGATCTCTGTGAGTTCGACGCCATCCTGGACTACAGAATGAGTTCCAGGAAAGGCGCAAAGCTACACAGAGAAACCCTGTCTCGAAAAACAAAACAAAAAAAGAATTCGAGGTACAGCTTATAATTCCCGAACTCAGGAGGGGAAGGCAGGAAAATCAGGAGTTCAAGGTCAGCCTCAGCTGCACAGTAAGGTCAAAGCTAAGCCTGGGCTACATGAGACCCTGTCTAAGAAAAAAATACAAAGAGCCTCAAAAAATGGGGTAGAGCTACCCTGTTATTCCCCTGAGATCTGCTGCTCTTTCCTCCCCAACTTCTATCTGGGGGTCTATGTTGTGAACATGTTTTCATCCTTGTTCTGGGGGACCTACAGGAAGTCCTTCATTTGGTCCCATCTTCCTGAAGCCGTGATGCCTTGTCTGATGCCTTGTCATGGGCATTACAGCACGTTCCACCTGTGACCACAAATTTAATGGGAAGAATGGACAGATTTAAATGCAAAGTCGAGGGTGGAGAGATGGCTACGTGGTTAAGATTGTTTACTGCCCTTGCAGAAGACTGGGATTCGGTCCCTAGCACCCACTCCAGGCAACTCACAACTGCCTGTGAGTCTAACTCGAAGGGACAGGCTCCCTCTTCTGGCCTCTTTGGGGATCTGCATTCACATGCACATATACACACACCCAGACACACGTGTACACATCATTAATAAATCCTTAAAGAAATCATATAAAATGCATTATTAATGGGCCACTGTGTGGTTTATTAAAAGCCAGGCATGGCGGTAAGCACCTGTAATCCCAGCACTCAGGACCCTAAGGCAGGCAAGTTCAAGGCCAATGTGGACCATATAGTGAGACACTTCCCCCTCCATCTCCAAGACAAGCAGGCACAAATCCTCCAGAACCCTGAACCAAATGAACTTCTTTACAAATCAGAGAGAAAAATTTAAAAAAAGCAAATACAAGACAGGATAATAAATCT